TCCTTCGGCAGATACGACTGCGACATGATGGTTTTGATTGCGGTTCAAGCAGTCTTATTGTCAGAGGTGCTTACGCTGACAATCTAGAGAAGCAGAAAGCAACCCGCAGCAACGGGACAGGTATACTTCTATATACGTGGACACAGCAAAAGGCTGCGGAGAACGTCCCGCCGTAACCGTCCTCACGCGTCGACAAGACCTTAATCGACGCGCAGTAAGACATATGAGGAACTTGGTACGGCTCCGTCGAGCTCAAGCGGGCTGGACGTCGCATTCTCCGCCTTCTCAATGGCTCCCTGGTCCAGCGACCCCGCTCATAGTCACGATCACTTGAGTGTTATAGCTTCATCCCACATGACGAAGCTACACTTTTACGTCGATTCTGCCCATGAGGGTCCTCGATGATGAAGGCGGTCAGTGGGACTGCGGCCCGTTGATTCAGCCTGCCTATTAACCTGCTAGGCGGCAGCGCGGAAGTCATCTTGGGCGCAAGGTGATGCTTGGAGGAGTGGGATGGCGGGGTATTGGGTCTGGCGGCCGTTTCCCGCGCGACCACTCCAGGGCGTCCGTCTACCAAGTCGCGCCGAAGAGCATGTTCCTCATCGCCTCATTCGCGAATCTAAGAGCTGATGACGGTCTAAGATGGAGTTGTCGGGAACGATGCTCTACATGTAGTGGTAGTTACGGGGATGGTGGACTGGCAGAGCTCAAAGAAGGCGCTATACCCAGTCGAGAAGAGCTTCCGAATGTACAGTATCTTCTCTCGACAGCTTGAGCTTCACTACACTGTCGGAACTACACTGAACGCTGGTGCAACCTCGGCGCAAGCAGCAGTATATAATGGGCGGCTTCTGGGGATGAGAAGGCCATGATACAGTATCGAATAGTCGAATAATTTCCGCACGATACCTCCGCGATGCTCTCCGCGCTCCGAACCATCCGATCTCCGACGAGACGCGCCGTCACACAATTGCGCACCGCCGCGACACAAGCCCAGAAACGCGCTGGCGATATATCTGATGCTTTCGCATCGCTCTCGGGACAGGAGTTTACGCCCCTGACGCAAGAATATGCGGACCTCAAGAGCCGGCTGATCCGTGGACACGAAGCCGAAGTGCGAGAGTCTTGGGAACGCCTCCTTCGAGATCTGCGCGAGGAAATTCCGCTGATTGTCGAGCGTGGCAGTCAGGTTATCCCAGAGATTGATTTCAAGGATATCGACAATGCGCCCGAGTCTTTCAGCAGTGAGCTGCGGAAGAGAGGTGTCGCCGTCATCCGGAATGTGGTACCAGAGCAGGAAGCGCTGCAATGGAAGGAGGACTTGAGAGAGTACATTCGCCAGAATCCTCAGACAAAAGGTACATCTGGGCGCATCCCGGAAATATACGCATAACTAACCATTCTGCAGCCTTCCCCGCCGACAACCCCCAAGTCTTCGAACTATACTGGTCGCGCACCCAGCTCCTCGCCCGCGGTAACCCGAATCTCCTCAAGACGCAATCCTTCCTCATGTCCTACTGGCACAGCCTCAACCCACACATCCCGCTCTCCACAAAACACCCCATAAGCTACGCCGACCGCCTGCGCATGCGCCTCCCCGGCGACGCCAAATTCGCACTAGGCCCACATGTCGACGGCGGCAGCGTAGAACGCTGGGACGAAGAAGGCTACGGGCTAGGCAAAGTCTACGACTCTGTATGGAAAGGGCGATGGGAAGACTTCGACCCCTGGGAAGCTAGTTGTCGTCTGCCCGTTATTTCGGACTTGCACCAGGGTGTAGGAGCATGCAGCGCGTTTCGCATGTTCCAAGGCTGGCTCTCGCTGTCTACAACGGGTCCGTTTGAAGGCACACTCCTCGTCAACCCACTGTTGGCAAAAGCAACAGCATACTACCTCCTCCGCCCCTTCTTCTCTCCCAAACGCGGCGTCGAGCCTGGCGCGCAAACACCCTCTTCCTCCTCCACTACAAACACCGCCGATTTCCTCGCCTCAGACAACTGGGAAATGAATAGCAGACAAAACGCGTGGGTCCATGGTGCGACACCGGGTCGCGGCCAGGAACTGTCACATTTGCTGCATCCGCATCTCAATTTACAAGAATCGATGATTCATATGCCGACGGTCAGGCCGGGTGACTATGTAGCCTGGCACTGCGATACCATCCACAGCGTTGATAAGACGCATGCTGGATCCTCTGACTCCAGCGTCCTTTATATCCCTGCTTGCCCCATGACGGAGGATAATGCCAATTACCTTGTTCGTCAGCGCGAGACGTTTCTTGCTGGTACTCCGAGCCCGGATTTTGGTGGTGGGGTGGGTGAGAGTGAGCATGTTGGGCGTATCACAGCTGAGGATATGGAGGAGTTGGTTGGAGAGGAGGGGAGACGGGCGATGGGTTTGCAAGAGTGGGATAGTGATGCTGAGGGGTTGGGCCCGGGGGAGAGGGTTATTCTGGATCGGGCGAATAAGATTTTGGGGTTTTATGATTAGGTATCGTGCGGGCTTGCTATGAGGAGCTGATGGCCTCGAGTATCGAGGGCTCATGCCTATTGTCGTACACGATACTGCTCTGCACTCGACACGATATTTTATTGAATTACGCTACTTTCATCACCGTCAGTCTGTGCGGTCCTTCCGTTGTCAGAGCAGGAGCCTAGTTCGCCCCCTACGCGCCTGCTTTCAAAGAATATATATTGTTCTCGACTTACTCACTTTCGATTGTCGCTCCACCCTACCGACTACACTGGCAATAGCGCGACTTATACACCACTATCGCCATCATGCGGAATTCGCAAATACGTACCTCGTCCCCAACCAACCCATCTGCGATTTCGTTCCTTACAAAGTTCCCTCCCGAGATTCGCAATTGCGTGTATGAATTGCTGTTCAAGCGAGAAGATCCGGTCTTGCTTCATAACGCGGATGTTTACCATGCGTCACATCCTTTCCGTGGGGCTCTCGAGGATTACTACAGCGAATACGAAGACGGAGTCGGGAAAGACGAGGCATTCCGACACGACTTTCATGAGGGGCTCGCTCTGCTATCGTCTTGCCGCCAGATACACGACGAAGCTTCTGGGGTTCTATACGGCGGAAACACGTTCATTTTCTCAAGACTGTTTGACGAAGAGGATTGTGACGAGTTGAACAGCCATGAAGAATACTCCCAGGTCGACTACGCGGCGAAGTGGCTGAACGACATCGAAACGCAATTCAACCGCCTCAAGAAGGTTGTCATTGATGTAAATGCGACCTGTTGTGAAGGTTTATGTGCGAACAGCGATGTGTTCGAATTCTTGCCTCTATTACGTTTTGTGTGGAAGAACCCGGACTCCCTCAAGATAATCTCGTTCGGAAGTGCTAGCGGAGCACTATGTACGCACGAGCCTACGATTGAAGCGGCCGATAGAGATGGAGAACCATGGGTTGATAGAGCGCGCATGTTCAATAACTTGCTTACTGCCTTCGCAGTACACGACGTTCTCGACATACGCAAGTACGCGTTCTCTAACCATCTCATGTCTGAGATCAGAATACTCCAATTTCCGGAACGGGAATTGGGGGGTGCCGTGGGCATGAGAGATGGAAGTGGGACAAATTTGAGGAAAGTCCTTGTATCAGACGAAGGCAAAACCCTCCGATGGAAGCCGCGGAGGAAGCGCCGCCCATTTCAAGACCTAGCAGTAGACACACGAAAACGGATAGCAGGATTTGTACTGCGCCACCCAGACGAAATCGTAATCGACTTGAACACACATACTGTACGGGGCCTTGACTTCGGTATCGCTCGAACAGGCCTAGTTCCCCGGCGCACCCTAGGGGAGCTTGTATCACGTCTGAACCGAATCAGCATAAAGATGACCAGCAAGAAGCCCGTTACAGATTTTGACGGCTTCAAAAAGTTGGACGATCTCCTGTCCAAGAGATCCAATCATCCTACGGTCCTGGGAGCGATGTTAAGTTCCTGGCCAGAGCCCCATGCACAGACCCTTGTATTGGAAATTGCTCCCGCCGAAGTGACCGCCCTCAGCACTGTCCGTATTGACATCAAAGATTTGATTACTCTACTACGCGACGGATATCCCCACCGTGTTTCCACCATCTGCATAACGCTCACTCCGCCTTCCCACACCGGGGCACCGCAACAAAGCACTACTGTCTCAACAGAGAAATTATTGAGACAGACGTTCTTACTCCTATCCGACTACATACTTCAAGCAGAAGAGGAACTATCTGAGTCTCCTGGTATCAACACCGTGAAAGCTCTTCTCGAAGAACTGGACCCCTTCCCTGAACTCTGGATGGACGGCTACGGCAATCTTCTTCACGCCTCAACTGCCAATGGGGACGCTCCATTAAAGTTTGCCTATGGTAAGCTCGGCATCAAGGAATTAGGTGTCTTTGGGTACAGCAGAGCTACTAACATGGACTGGATGTATGAAGCGTTTACTTCTAACGGGGCAGATGACGACATTACGTGGGACCATGTTATCCGCGTGTGGCGAAGGCTCAGGAGTACATTTCATTGGGATTGGGATATCAGGACTGTACCGCCGGGGTTGAAGAAGTTGACGTCCGACATTGGACGGTCCGGCATTGGATGGAGATAGTAGCAGCATAGTGGGAAGTGTTCAGCGGGATGACTACGTATCTCTATCGATGCGCTGTCTTGTATCCTTGTGTATACCATAATGGGAACGAAAAATTAGCTAACTATCCGTATGGGTGTACGCATGCAGGGCTATGACGTATTTTCTTTGTTACGTTTCATCAGACTACACTTGGTAGAGCGACTGCTAGATTAGCCGAATCCTTACGGCCGCTTCTACAGACCGTGGAGGACAAAGGAAAGCAGGTACGCGTGCATAGTCTGGCTGCTTGAAGGGTCGCGTGACTCCTTGCAGGAATGTCAATCTTTAACTTCAAAGTCGCGCCTTCCATTAGCACCACATCTGCTTGTGTCTTCGCATTTGTCCGATACCTTTGCGAACCGAAGTAAAATGGAGTCTTGCTACGTATTCCGCACCTGGACCAGAGAAACCCTCACTATAGCCTGCGCAATCGGCTTGGTAGCCTCCATCGCAGGCATTCTGGCAGTATACGACGGCAAACCCGTACCGGACTGGGGCAGCGACCTCAATCTCAACGCTCTCATCGCGCTTTTATCAACAGTCCTACGGGCTCTGCTAGTCGTCACCGTCGCGCAGATCATATCGCAGAGAAAATGGGACTGGTTCAACGTCACGAGTGCCCGCCCACTGTCAGATATCCAGCGATTCGACTACGGGAGCCGCGGGGCTTATGGGGCGTTGCTTCTCATTCCAACTGTTTTTCTCAAGGACTTTGTTACACTGGCTGCTGCGGTCGTGTTGCTGCTGTCGTTCTTGGTGGGACCTTTTGCTCAGCAGGCTAATGGTGCGGCGCCGTGCTCATTTCCTAGCGCTACGCTCAATGCATCACTTCCCTTCGCGCACACGGTACCTGGGAGTGGTGGCTACATCCCTTTTACAGGTGGTTCAGACGGAGGCCCCACAACCGACCTTGTCGCCGCAATTCTGTCCAGTGTCGTATCGCCCTACGGCATTGAGAACAAGATTCGCACAAGTTGCCCCACGGGAAATTGTACGTTTAGTAACCTGGGTCCAAGACCTGAACTGGAAAAGGCCTTCTTCGACTCTAATCAGAGCATGCATTCGACAGTTGGAGTGTGCAACACGTGCACGAACGTGGCGTCTCTAGTGACGAGCGAGATCGAGAGTACAGAGTGGAGTAACAACACTGTCCACTCTCTGCCAAGCGGCTTGAACCTATCAGTAGGAGCAAGCCATTTCGAAGTCTCGATCATGAAGCCAACTCCCGACCTCACATGGATGGGCAGTCTCCTAACCGACAGCGTCAGAGAAGCATCCAGATGGGCATACGTCAACGCGACCCTCCTCAACATCGGCAGTACCCCCATCACCGCCTCAGTATGCAGCCTGTACCCATGCACACGCACCTATAAATCCATAATCAAAGACTCCGAGCTCCACGAATGGGAAGCCCCCTCCTCAGCCATGCGCCTCCAAATCGGCGGCGCCCACCACGAAGAACTCGACCTACCCACTTACAAAAACAGCCTCTCCAACACGGAATACGAATACACAACAAGACGAGAGCCGTGCCGAGTAGGCCCCTGGACGCTATACAAAGGCGGTTTCATCCCCGAAGGCACCGCAACAGCGGAATTACAACTCTTCGATTTCACGCACGAGAAATACGCGTTTGAGAATATGACATGGCCGGAACAGTGTATATACCGGCAACCAGCCGAATTCGTCAAAGCGGTCGCTATGGTTATGAACGACGATATTTTCGATGGGTATTGCCAGTCGTATAAGACGTTCGATTGCTTCAAGAACTGCAAGAACAGCGAGTTTTGCCAGTTGGAAAGTCAGTCTAATCTGGCGCATATAGGCGTTAATGCTGTACTGCGGCCGCTGGTAGAAGCAGAGGGCAGCTCGACCCATGCTAACGTCACGAAACTTTTCGATGCCGTGGCGAATGCCATGACCAATCGTTTCCGGTTCCAGTACGGTAGCGCTACAGCGTGGGATTTCAGCTACGGCGCGCAGGACCTGCCGTTGGATGTGGTGTATGGGCTCGCGTGGGAGACCAAAGCGTGTGTGGAAATGAGGTTGAAATGGCTTCTTTTCCCTATCTGTCTTACCGTCGCTACATGCGTTCTCTCCGTTTGGGTCAATGTTACGAACTGGAGAAGGCGGCATAGCGTTCCTATCTGGAAAGATAGTATTCTGCCGCTGGTGTTCTACGGACAGAGTATCAAACCGCAAGACGATACTCCGTTGTCGCCTCAGCGATTTGGATTTGGCAGAGAGGCGGGTGGAGACAGGGCAGAAGGGCTCATGGAAGCGAGTAAAATGGCTGCGGCTAGTCGCGATATCATGGTGACTTTCCAGTGGCCTGATAGCCCACGAACGGACAAGTTTGAGGACAAACGTGGCCAGGGTGTGAGTTCGGCTGCGGCTTTGGCGAAGGAGTGTAATGTCGCAAGTGTTCCGTTGAGGAGAATAGATATTTGGGGCAATATTGTTGTGAATGGTCGGAGGAACAATTGATAAGAAATGGTATTTTCTTATGTTGCTTTTAGACAGCAACGAGAGAAATGAACTGTTCGATTGACTTCTCCCCTCTGCCATCTATAACCCATCCATCCTCTCTTAGCGACAATACGCATCAATCTGGGCGTCAGACAGCGTATGGCTCCCACCCGCACATCTATACCCGCTATGTTGCTTGATCCACATGTACCCCATCGGACATGGTCCCATTGCCTTCAGCTTCTTCTGCCTCTCCATCTCTTTTTGTCGCGCCTTCTCAACGGCTGCCAGTTCCTCATCACGGCGTCGCCTCTCCAGTTCCGCAGCGATACGCGCTTGCTCTCGGACACGCCGCTCCTCCTCGTCGGCAGCAGCCTTCTCGGCACGGATGAATTCCTTGATCTGCTCTTCGTACTGTCGCTTCTCTTCTTGGAGTTTGCGGTATTCGTTTTCTTTGGCTACCATGGCGTGCTTGTCGCGCTCGAGCTGCTCCCATACTTCGTCGGAAACGCCTGCGTCGCGCTTGACTTTGAAGATGGAAGCGAACGGGTCTTCAGGCTCTGTTGCGGGCTCAGTCTTCTTTTCCGTTGACTTCTTTTCGTCTTCCGGTTTGTCCGTATTGGTGCCGGCTGTTGGTGGTGGGGCTGCGGTATTTGTCGAGGTGTTTGAGCCTTGCGCACTGGGTGGCGTCGGGTTCTGCGTCTGTGGTGGGGGCATGGGGCGGTTGGGCATTCGCTTTCCTGACCGGCTCGTGCCTGCTGCGGCATGCCGCCGTGAACGTTCGTCTATCATGTCTTCCACAGTACGAATGATAATAGGTTCAGTGAGTACGAGGATAGTGATGGGAGGCACGGCCGTAGAGATGAGTGCTTGAAACATGCTCTTCGCGAGCGATTTAACGTCGCGAGCGTTGCCCCATGACTCCAGGACCGATAGCCTGCCAAAGAGGTCCAGTAGCTGCTGCCGTAGTTGCGATGATGGCGGATCGATGATCGAGAGATCGAGTGGCGCTTTCTTCTTCTTCTGCAGATCCGATAGTACTTTGACAAGGAGCTTCAGACATGTTTCTGGGTCGATATGCTTGAACATGACTGTTTCGGGAAAGCGACTGGTGAGCCCAGGGTTCATGCTCATCAGTCGGTCAATATCCTTATCGTAGCCAGCCAGAATGACGACGAGCTTCTGCGCATACTTGGGTTTGGTGAGGCAGTCGACTATCTCATCCATTGCTTCAGTCGCGAAATGGCCTTCCGCAAGACGATAGGCTTCATCGATAAAAAGAACTTTTCCCAGGGCTTTCTCCATGAGTTTCTGAACCTTCGGCCCAGTATGACCAATGTACTGGCCGATCAGGTCGGTAGCGGAGCATTCTTCCACTTTCGCCTGGCTGAGGAAGCCCATGTCGTAGAATATCTTGCCCATCTTTGCAGCCGTAGTAGTCTTGCCGGTACCTGGCGGCCCCTTGAAGAGGAAATTGAAAGGTATCTGCTCTCGAGGGTCCAATCCGAGAGCTTTCATATTGGCAGCTGTGGTTTGGTAACCCTGGAACTGCTTGATCAGATCCTCGCACCCTACGACATCTTGGAATAGAGCCGAAACTTCAGTGGCTGCACGAGTACCGCGGTCAAAATCAGGATCAAAGTCGACAGCTTCGAAAGTGCCAAATTGCTTGACTTTGCCCGAGGATATGTGCTTCTGATGTAACGCCTTCGCGCGATCCAGGAGGATATCGACCTCGCCTGCGTTGCCGAAGTTTGGGCGATTGCGCGCGCGTTGAATGACCTCCATGGCGACCTAGATTGAAACGTGTCAGTGGTAATGCACCAAAATTGATATGCCATCTTACCTTCTTGGCTTGGTCTTTCGCATCAAACCCAATGCCCTTGAGCTTGAAGTCAAAGATCTGACGAATCTCAAAGTCATTGAAGTCCTCAAACACAAACGCAGATTCCAACGGGAACCGCCTCGCAAGGCCGGGATTGACATCTCGAAACATGTCTTCCATTTGGTCCTTGTATCCTAGCAGCAACACACATCGGTCTTCGCCTGCGGTGCTCTGAACTTCGGCAACGATGGTGTCAATGACTGCGGCTTTGAAAGGGTCGCCGCCGTTGGATCCGCTAGCTTTGGCAAGCATATAAGCCTCATCGATGATGAGAACTTTACCGACTGTGGAAGCCAGAATGGCTTTGGTGTTGGCTTCTGAGCCTCCTATGACGTTCCCGACGAAGTCTGCTGGGTTCTTTACGATGACCTCGCCAAGCGAAAGAAGTCCAATGTCGGCCAGAACGCGACCGTAGAGTTTGGCTACGGTGGTCTTTCCAGTTCCTGGGGAACCGACGAAGCAACGGTTTAGTGAATACTGGATAATGGGCTTCTCCTTCAGCTCGAGCTGGTAGTTGGTTTGTATACCGTCGAGAAGTACTCGTACCGACTCTTTGACTGAGGCCAAGCCCGTGAGCTTCTGCAGCTTTGACCAGGCAGCATTATTCTTGAGAACTGACGAAGGCTCCGGACCAATCAGATCCTCCTTGGTAAGGAGATAGTCATCCGGCATCGTGCCGGCTTTTCTTGCTTTGCGCAGTCGCTTGGCCTGGCGTTCGGTAATCTGTGCGATCTTGTTTTGGACTTCGCGGGCGTTACCGAAGCCATCACGGCCTCGACCACGACCAATGCGCCGCGCAACGATACGTACGTAAAGGCCTTTCATGCCGTCTTCAATCTTCATGCGTCCGGAGTACTTCTTGTCAATGTACTGGCAGAAGATTTGTTGTAGCTCGCGGTCTTCGTAGTCCTGGAACTCCATTCGGATTGGTATGCGGCTCGGAATGCCAGGGTTGTGGGAGAAGAAGGCTTCCATCTGCTTGTGGTAGCCTGCGAGAACAAAAACGACCTTGCCTGTCAAGTTCTCCATTTCTGCAAGCAGGTAGTCGAGCACCGCTTTGCCGCCGGGGCTGTTTCCAGATACCAGTTGATACGCTTCATCGATGAAGAATACACCACCTCCTGCTTGGAGTATGTCATCAATGTGGGTCTTGCAAGCGGATACGCCGTCATTTGCAAGAGCTGATCCAGAACTCTCAATGAAGTGGCCACCAGGCAAAGCTCCTACCTCGACTAGGAACTTGGCGTAGTGCCTAGCCACAGTCGTCTTTCCTGTCCCAGGATTGCCTAGCAGGGCAGCACCGAAACGCTCCCCTTTAAGTGATACACCCTGACGTACGACCGTATCGACTTTGGCCTTGATCGCGAGGAACTGCTGCTTGACGGATTCAAGCCCTATCATAGGTACTAGAGAGTCGAGAGCTTCGTTTTCTGCACCCTCAAATTTCTTCTGACATTCCCACTCATCTCTGGCTTCACTCTTGTCCCAATCAGGCTGGTCCTCGTCCGAATCCGACGACGTGGATTCGTCATTGGTCGGGGTATCGTTACGGTGATCAGTCGTTGTACTTGGCGCTGGTTTATCGCTTTGTTGTTTGGCAGTATCGGATGGTGGAACCGTCGTAGTAGTAGATGTCGAAGGTGCTGGCACTGGAGCGTTTTTGGATTTCTTGACCCTCTCCTGCAGGTTGCGAAGATCTTGTTTCTTCTGCTCCAGCGCTTGCTGGCGGTCTCTTTCCTCGGCCTGCTCTTTCAGAAGGCGCTTCTGGTGCTCGATTTCTTCCTCAATCTCGACTAAACGAGCGGCATATGCACGTTGTTTGGCCTCTCGTTGTTCGTCTAGCTCGTGGTCGCGTTGCCGCTTCTTTTCCTTGGCTCGCACTTCGGCTTCACATTTCCGACAGTGCGCTGGCGCCTTGTCATGGCACTTTCGAGTGGTCTTGTGCTTACTAGGGCATGTTGAGGAGATGATGACATTGCAATCCATTCGTGAATGGTCTTGCAACTGATGACATTGACGGGGACAAGCATGCAGTCCGCAGTTGAGTAGTTTGCCACATGGTTCAGAGCAGCCGCCGTCTGGACACACCGTATCGAATTGTTCTTTCTCGGTTAGAAGCGCGGTCTTTTCGGGATGCTGCTCGCATTTGACAGGAAAGCCGTCGTAGACATGGCCGTCTCGCTTCAGCTGGTCCATAAGCGGTACCCATACTTCCTTGCCTTTGCGACTGTTCATGAAAGTGTCTGCGTTGCCGATCATGATCAAACCGTTTCGCGCTCGTGATAGCAACACGTTGACTCGTTGAGGAGACGACATGAAGCCGATATCCCCAGCATCGTTACTGCGTGTGAGACATGCGATTACGATATCGCTTTCTTCACCTTGATAGTTGTCGATAGTTGAAATGCGAAGCTTGCGTTTGGAGATGTTCGCGCCAGCCGGCGTCATCAGACCCGCTTTGATGAGCTCATAGGAATCCAGATCGTTTAAAATGGGATCATTGTCCTTAGACAAAGTGTTCATCAACAGGTATAGTTGACCCAGGTAAGGTGTCAGCACCACAATGTCTTCCGTACCGTAGCCCTGCTGACCAAGGTACCGCACGCATTTCAGCACCATCTCAGCCTCGTACAAGTTTTCCTTGCTGGACTTAGCACCTCCATCGCGGCCGTCGGCAATCTGTACCGCGTTGAGCTCAGGGCGCGAATGTGACACGAATATAACGTTGCTTTGAAGACCACGTAAGTTCGGTCGACCTTGAGTCTTCTCTGCATCTTCCAATTCCGGATATGTGAGCGACCGAACGAGGGACGAGATCTCAGGGCGCATACGATGCTGCTTGCTGAGCGTGGTATGTGGAACTCCGCTGAGCACGAGACGTTCGAACAGAGAGACATTGAGATCGTAGCCATCTCCTTTTTCTGCAGTCAAGGCATAGTTGTTGACTTTTGGCCGCAGCTGTTTGTGATCGCCGATCAGGATGAGCTGCTTCGTGGTTGGGGTTAGAGCTGTAAGCACATGACTCTCCAGGATCTCTCCAGCTTCTTCCACCAGAACAATGCCTGGTGAGGCCTTGCGGATCTCTTCGGTGTACATAGCAGCTGCTGTGGTAGTGCATCCGATGATGCGTCTCTGACTGAGCACGTGAAAACTCTTCTCGCGAAATAGTCGAACGACCTGGGCACAGCATTTGTTGTACTTGTTGGCAAGTGTGCTTATTTCGGTGACCCGCTCTTCAAGTATCGTCTTGTTCCACTGCGCCTGAAGTCCAAGACGGATCTGCGGCGGAACATTCCAAACGTGTGGATATGTTTGCATCGCATGACCAAGGAAGATGCCAGCGTCTTCTCCATTGACCCATCTCTTGACTAGGTAGTACTTGTCGATGCGTTTATTCTTTTTCCCCATAACTGTCATACCATCTTTATTGTCGGGCACAACAAACGCATCGAAGTATTCTGAATCATCCGAGAACTCTAAGTAGTCTAGGAGCATCTGCTCATTGAGCCGCATAGACGTAAAATATGTCATCCTCCTGACTAGTGCGTCATGGTAAGATTCCGCTTCTGACTTTTGGTCTTGAATCATGGTCCATGTTTGTCCCGTCATCTTGTAGTTATTTGGTTGTTCTCTGATGGTCAGTGCGCGAGTGTTGGCATTCGACTTTGATCCCAGCCGCACGATCGAACTAGCAGGGATACCGGCCTTTTGGATATCTTCCAGGAATTGATCCAGAGCATGATTCGTGTAAGTGAGAATGAGCATCGTCTCATTGGTACGATCGTGCAATATCTTTGCGATGAGTGCTCCGATGAAACTTTTGCCTGTACCTGGTGGGCCTTGGATCAGACTGACTCTCTTTACTAGACCAGTCAGCAGTGACTCTGCTTGGGCCTGGTCGAGCTTGATTGGATGAGTGCTTCCGATGATGTCTTGAAGGTCCTCTTCCCAGTGGTCGCGAATGGCGTTGACAGTCTTTGTCGGTTGGATGCCGGACGGGGTTTCCGCGGAGTCTGGCGTAAGACTGAGGAGCTGGTCTTCCAGTGGCAGTTCAGTCAGGTCCTGAAGACATTTCAGGACAGGCTCATACGCAAATACAGCAGTATCTACCTGCACAAAGCAAAGGTCAAATTGGAGCTTGCATGCCATCAGCACTTTGCCAAACGAGCTGGCGTCGGCCACTCGCAGCACTACAACAGCAGGTTGCTTCGCAAGGAGATCTTCATCACGGTCCACAGTTGCAAACGCAACAATCTTACCGTTGCTGATGAGACAGCCCAGTGACTGATGCTTCAGGACGTTCTTGTTGTCGGCGAGGAACTTCTTGCGGTTCGCGGGTTTGACGTTGCGCAGCTGAGGAACGTCGTCTGGACAAAGAAGCTGCAGCGAGCAAGGCTTGGGTTTCGCCTCTGGTCCGCAGTCGATACCGGCATATTGCAGGTGTTCGAGAACCACTTTACGTCGACCTTTCTTCTGACCACTGGCAATCTGGAAGTCGTTACGTAGCTCCCCAAGAAGATCCTCGCGGAGTAAGCGAAATTGGTTGTCAACATGGGTAAGACCACGGCTCTCCGGGGTGACAGAGACGATGGAATCAGCGCGTCTGTAGAATGGATGCTCGGAAGATGCGAATTCGTCTGGCGTCGGTAAGAGCTTGATCTTGTGGATTTGCGCGAAGTCGTTGTCGTGTCGCCCACCTGGGCCGTCGACAGTCTGGTCGGATGTGCTGTCGAGGACATGCTTGATCTTATGCCCAATGTTGCGGATATCTAGCGAGTCTGAATCGATGAAAGATGCATTCTTAGTGACGCGTTCTGCGACATCTCGCACATCTGGAATGTCCTCAGAGCGACTGTATAGCAGCTCGAGTAGCAGCCACGCGAACGCGCGAGTGCCATCGCTGGAAAGCACGTGACCATCATGCGCGTTCACAAGGGTGTTCCAGAATGTAGGAGGCTGGACAATCTGTTCGAGGACGCGCTGAAGAAATTGGCCGCCGTAGAGTTGCTTGACAGGGGGCTGGGCCAGATGAGTGATGACGGCGGTTGCCCACCCGTTGAGGAACGCGCTATCCCCGGTGGTGCGGAAGGCAACGCCGACGGCCGCTAGCCCTGCCGAAGACGCGATCAGACACTCAACACACTTCGACGCGTCTTCTTGAGCACACAACGCCTCCAAAAATCGATTACTGTCGCCCGCCGTCTTGATTTCGCGACGACCATGGATGATAGCGTTGAAGAGCTTCGTCAGCCCTGCGGCACGCTTCGCGGCGTCCTGGTCCGCCATGGATGAGGTTTGTATCGTGTAAGGTATCAACTGTTGAGAAAAGATTTATCAAGACAAGCTGATATCTGCCGCTATTCCATCGCTCTTCAGAGGGCGTTTGGTTCTTTTGAGCTTTCTGAATGGGTAGCCGGGAGGCCGCACCAGACCCCAGCGCATGCGCGATGATTCTCTGATAACGGGCTGTGCGAATGATTGGAAGAGACTCACACTTTGTTATGCGGCAAGGCATCAATCTTTGTCTGCCTGCATGTTCTGGTGAGCTCTGGACGAATTGAGGCCTACAGGCATGCGCTGTGCGACCTGCATGTTGAGCAAACAGCGCCACACGAACTCAGCCTTGTCTAGGCAGCATGCCATACTTGAAGCCGGCGTGTCGCTTTCCATCCAGCGCATAACTCAGCCTCGCAATTCACAATTTCGAAACTAGTCAGTACATTTCCGCAATATGGCTTCGTTTTCAGGCAGCGGCAGAGGTGGCTGGGCTCCACGCAGAGGGCGAGGCCGCGGAGGAAGAGCGCCTCACTTCGCAAAGAACAGAGAGCTGCCAAAACCGGATCTCCAGACACATCCGCTTGGAGACCCTGTGAAAGTGTTTCGCAGCTCCGATCTGAGTCTGAAACCAATCGACTCGGCGGAGATATCGAATTGCCAACATGTCGCGTCGTACAACTGGCTCAATGACGAGGTACCTACCATCGTCGTTCCAGGTAAGGCTTCTTTTTGTGCCTACATGGACGTTAGCCCGCCCACTTTGCATGTTTTCATCTTGCTGTAGTCTGCATACCAGATGGAGCTGACAGTTTTAGGTAAACCTCCTCGCTGGACACCACTCCAAGCTCCACAGCGTTTGAAAGAAGACGACGGACAGTACTTTCGCGACCCCAATGCTGCAAAGTATCCCGACTTCCCCATGGCACCCGTCGTACATGCTATTACAGAGACCGACCCCGAATTCGACGCTACGAACACCGATGTCTTCGCATGCGGAAGCACCCTTGGCAACCTCCTGCGCTTCGCTCGTGGTGTCGACAAAGCCTTTCGGTTTAACATCGAGGTCATTGGCGAGACTGTCTTCTTTGTACGGAAAGAGAACGACCCCAAAGAAGTTATCAAGGATATCAGAGGCTTTGGTCATACGTTTCCAGAAGCATACACCACATGGGAGCATAGTGTCAAGGGTTCTGAGACACACCAGCGCATCATACGATATGAGTTTGGCGGCTTGGAGTGTCTTGTACGCTTCGAAAGCGACGGCTACATTGATGACTCCCTAGCAGTCCGTGATGTCGCGCCCGCACAGACTGCTGGGGACCAAGATGAGCTTCTGCAAGCATTCCAGCAAGCAGCCATCGGCCGTTCGCCCAGCAACGCGATGGGTAAGCCGGAAGAGCTCAAGATCGAACACCGCGGATCTACAGTACCGCATCACTCCATCTTTGACCTGAAGACACGCTCAGGCAAATACAAGAAACCCATCGACATGACCGACATCTACCCGGCGCTCTGGATGAAACAGATATCCAACTTCATCGTTGCCTACCACGACGGCCATGGCCTCTTCGAAGACATACAGGTACAAGATGTCAAGAAGGATGTGCGAGCCTGGGTCCGAGAGAATAGAGACGGTATCCGCCGCTTCGCAACACTACTTAATGAGATTGTTGACATCGCCAAGAGCAGCACAAACAAGTTGCTCGAAGTGTATTGCCCCGGAGCGGATCGCTTAGAGGTCCGAAACCAGTACGGTGACGGCGTACACGCGCTGCCTGCAGACTTGGTCGACAGATGGGAGAAGACTCAGGTTACTGTTTCCTCTACTCAGGATGATGCTTCGGATGAGGACGAATACAGTGATGGCGGTGTCGATCTTAATGCAAGGTATGGGCTTGGCAGTGGCTACGACTCAGAGTCTGAGCCAGACTACACTGCCTGTTCTGCTAACGACTGTGGGTACTGTGGAAAGTGTACGTACTAAGACTGGCTATTACATGGTTGTGGGTTCATTGTTTCCTTACTAGCAACTGAAACATCGACGTATTCTGCTCTATCAAGGCTTGCTTCAGTATATCCTTGGTTTTTGCATATTTCTTCTTAGTAAGGCGACGAGGCTACATTGTCGGCATAGCCTGTTGTGAAGAACTCTAACTCTAATCGTAGTCGGCAAGACCTTCTGCGACGAACTCGACTTCCTGGCAGCGATTCCGATCAGTCTGCTTGTTTGCGCACTCATGCCACTAGCAGTCGTTCTTTCTTTTTCTCTGTCCCTACTGTTCGCTGTTTCGTCTCTAGGTCAACGAGGAGAACAAGAAGCAGATTGGCAAGGACGCTGCCGTCATCTACCGGGACGAGCTGGTGTCGAGGCTGCAGCATATACAGGACCTCAACTCAGCTCTGCACGGCCTCCTCCAGAAAACCTGCACGACCCCTACCAACGTCAGCAATTCAGAGCTAGAGCAGTTCCAACAGAAGGTCAAAGATCAAGACTATTTCTACGAAACAATCGCCATGCTTTCTACCCATGTGCAATCTATCAGGATGGAGTTGCAACATCTGGGCGCGCAAGTCGGGGCGGCCCTCCTCTTGACCGACTTCAATCCGGAATACTTCCCCCAGTGGGATATTGAGAAAAGAACCGCACACCCGCTGACAACGGCCATTAACAATGCCAGCCGAGACACCGTCCATCTGCCAGGCTTCAACGACGTCTACGACCAGTTCGATGTTGCATTCAACGAAGAAGATGTCAAGATCCCTCTGGAAGATAAGCCCTCCAGCGACAACCTTGTTCGAAAGCTCCGTGACATCGTCCCGGTATTGGAGACAGACGACAGAAAGATGTCACGCCGTTCACACAGCAAGATGCCAAAGAAAGAGGTGGAAAATACAGATGAGGGTATTATGATGGACGGAGAGATGTCTGACCACGAGTCGTTGCAGCCGAAGCTCAAGTACACAATGGGGCGTCATGCAAAGAAGTACGAGATCTCAAAGGGAAGGACCAAGTTTTATTTCGTGCTCCACATGATCAAGAACGGGGAGAAACGAACGCGCGGATCCACGACTATACATACCCACCACATGGTCCCACACTTTGCCGTCATGCTTTTCGACTCAAAATACACCTCATCCCGATGCCCTTGGCGCTGCACAACGACACATATCTTCGGCTTTGGAGCTGGGTTCGTCGCCTATATCGCCGGAAATCTAAAAGCTCCACCCGCAGCCATGTTCCTTCGCTTTGAAGTTGTCGCGCAGGTGCTGACAAAGTCGGAACAACAACAACATCAATAACAAAAAGACATCACGCTTCTTGACTTCTACACCGCAATTTTTAACGTCCACACTACATTCAGTTTTACACTTCGTGGCTTCGATACATGCGCTTACAGCATACATCCATTTACTATACTCTCACTTGCACGCGCCATGGGTAACCGAGACTCCGACAACACCGCTCCGAGCAGTGCAACTCCACACACAGATGCAACGTCTTCTGCAAACGCACCTCTGGGTAGTGAAGTTGTGAGGACCACTATCTGCGTCGGAAGACAAAGGGCACGGTCCACTGCGTTGTAAGACTCAAGGCTGCAGTGTGGCGCGATTTTGTTTAGCCCCGTGTATTCTCTCCACCCCGGATATACTTAAGGACTTGCAGATTTTGACTGACACCTTACGCGCACTCCACTACTCTCAACCACATCGCTCCAGATCAAGGAACGCCATCATCATGGCGCCTAAGCATTCGACTGCCCTCAACGCTCTCACTAAGGCGCATCCTAGAGTCCCCTTACCACTATCGGGCGGCAACTCGAAGCCGGCAGATCCGCGCAAACATTCCCTCGTCACTCTACCCGCCGAGCTTCGCAACAAAATCTTCGAGTATCTCGTCGAGTTCTCCGAGCCCGTCAAGGTCACTTTCCGCCGACATTTTGAATATAGCTCCGAGCGCATAAGCTTCTCGCTCCAACCAGAACATCAGCGTCACAGGAGCTTGCTTCTGACATGTCGGACTATTTACTCGGATGTGGCTTCGGCCTTTTATGCCAACAACAAGTTCCTCATAGCTCCGGACAGCTACCAATACTCACAGCGTAGTCAAGCGACTGCGGACGAGATTGCTGTATTATTTCTCCAGCGAGTGGGCTCGCAGGTTCATTGGATCCGTAAAGTTATCCTTGATATTACGAGTAGGCCGTGGGCCTTGAACTTCGATAGGTGTGTATTCCGGTACACATACGATGTGTTTGAGGTCGGCATACTTTTGAGATTCCTCTGGCACCACCGCCTCGCTATCGAGATCGCTTACTTGCAAGCCAAGGGAGCTTCCCGGGATGTCTGTAATCCTCCAGCGATGACCCGGGTCATGCGCTGTATTCTCGAAGGCCAAGTGATGCTAAAGGCATCTCGCAGTCAGATGCTCGAGATTGCAATCAAATATGACGGCTCCGGTGGTATGTTCCGTCTGGGTAAAGTACCACCTGGCGCACCAAGCCGATTTGCACTCGATCGCGCTCAACAAATCTACAGCTTCGCCGCTGAGGATAGTGGACGGTGCCTCACCTTGACAAAGCCGACACCTCCTACCTTGTTGACATTACCCGTTCATCCCGTACTCTCCAAGATCTTTTCCGAGGTCCTCAGTGAGCGGGAGAAAATCTGCATCGATCTTGATGTCGACACGAGCTTGCCAGTCAACTTCACTCACGTCAATAGGCGGTTTCACGAGAGCTGTTGGGCAAGCTTGCTACAAGCCGCAACGTACACATTGCTGCTTCATTCAAGAGAAAAGCGCAGTACGTTCACTAACTTTAGCAAACTTGCTCGCATCTTACGTCGTACATTTACAACTCCCGAGGATCCTGGACAAAACTACCACGGGATATCAGGACCTTTGCGGTGGTCAGCGCCCCATTGGAAGCTGGAGAAGTCACAAGAGCTCAGCGTTGTGCTGGAGTTCGACCTAGCCGATCCGACCGCCTTGGAAGACCTGCGAATCAGCGTGCTGCCCTTACTTTTGGAGACATCTTCGTATTGGGGTGATCGCACTGTCACGATCCGTTCATTGACCTCTACACCGGGTGGCCGTTCCCTTTTCGCCGAGCAAACAATCACGTTTCAAGAACTTCGACTGAACGCTATGAATGCGCTGGAACACACATTCGGTAAGACTGTTGGGTACGCAGCTACTACGATGTGGGTAAACGGGTTGGGAAAGGTCGTCGAGACAGAGTTCAGTCGTTTCTCTAGCCCATATCGCATCCAATACGACCCGGCAAAAGCACGCGGGGGAGTCGGCGGTAGGAAATCGCGTGAAGTGTCCTCTATTTACCCAAAGGATCAGTACTTCCACGGACAAAAGACCCGACACGACTGTCAATCAAAAGATTGCAAGCAGCTGTTCCCATCTCAGTACTCCGCGGTAACGGTATTGGATTATCTCGAGGAGGTCTTGACCAGGTATGACGTTAAGAACAAACCTGATTCGGGCAATGCGTAAGTATACAGTATTTTCCACTGATGGAATGAACCAACTGACAGTTGCTAGCGAAGTTGAAAAGATCATGTTGAGACAGCTAATGCCGGCGGAAATCTGCGGTCTCCACCGACAAGACGAATCGCTGTGGAAGGCTAGTATAAATCTACGTTTTCTTACGTCGAGAGCGTATCGCTCAGGTACGAGCTACTCCATTGGAGCGAAAGGATCACGGAGATAAAGACGACATAGGCGCAAGAAGAGATCTTCGTCGATCATGTACCATTGCTGGACATCGGGCGAGATACGCATGTGCCGTATATTGTGTGTCTGTCATTACATTAGCGATTTCATTCGTACTGTAAGCATATCCGGCCTTTGCGTACAACTCATGGTAATTACCGGGTGAATATACATCGACATTGAACATCTCACGCTCGAAGTCAAGCTCGTCCCCTTAATCTCAATCCTTTTTCACGTTCTCATCCTTCGAATCGCTCTTCTTCTCTTCTTCCTTGTCACCAGACCCGCTTCCGCTGCCCTTGTAGTGGCTACCTTCTTTTCCTGGCTCAAATACCGTGTTGCCTCATAACAACTTAGCATGCATGTCTACAAAATCAGGGGCGTTGACATACAGGAAGCGCAATGCGCCCAAGCACCGTCTTTCGTCAAATCAGCCCCTGCACCGCACTCTGGACATTCGACCATAGCAAAGCTTTCTAATCGGGTTTCGGAGGATGGGTAACAGATTCGGTTTAGGATGTTGTTGATGATCAATGTTCGGTTGCGATCTTGCGATAGAGTTTCAATGCAGGTTGCGTGCTTGCGCTAAAGTGAGGGGCATGATGTCATAGACCAATCAGATACCGCGGAAGCTTCTCATCAAGCTTACGACCATTGGAGTTCTACACCGATGTACTCCTATTCTTGGAGAGGGAATGAGGGATATAGAAGAAGGCCCGAAGTTGGGCTTACATCTTTTCATCAGTAATCTTTCATGCGGTGGCTGACCTGGCGTGTTACAGACATTCGTATAGCCTGAACGCCAGCGGCCCTGCAGCATGCAAGAAGGATGGCGCACATGGGACTTTGGTTCTGCTACACCATAGTTCGCATGCTACCAAAGTTCTGAATGCGATGTGCGAGCCATCAGTTCCCTGGGCTATCGATACGAGTCAGTCTGCATCCAGGTTCTCGTTTTCCGCCGTCTTCCGCCCGTCGTGGCGGCCAATCCTCAACTCCAAGAGTTCCCAACAACCAGAATTCATTCATCCTGCAGTGCTTGCGCAATGCGATCCTTCCGAACTTATTGACTCGCATTTGGACAGATCATCCTTATGGATGCTGTGCGACTCAGACCCCTATAATGCCGCCAATGACGGCGCTCAGCTGCGTTGGAATCCTCAGATCACAAAGAGGCCGCGCCGGACACGGTACGCACGTACTGCCGCTGGACCAGGGCCAGAGTCGATGGTATCGCAGCGATGAAACCGATTAGTTTACCGGAATACATCACCGCGAAGGGAACGAATAGCCCGATGGCTAGATTCTTGAGTATGAGATGTGCATCTTGTCGCAGCTGCAACACAGTAGGCGTAGCAAGCGGCAGCGCAGGTTTTTCGTCTTTCGTCTTTCTCTCATCTGATTGCTGGAGTCATTGCGACAGTAGTAATCCGGGGTCGAAACTTGCAACATTCACCGTTGACGTGCATCTACCGCATAAACCTGCTCGCGGAGCTGAACATCTCAGGGGCGATGCACCCATCAAAAACGAAGCCATTGCTTCAGCAGCTCCAGGTATGTGAATCATGCCACGCGACTACCCGCTTGCGATAGCCTCACTATACCCAGCCGAGCGAGCGCCTAGACCCAGAGTAGTCTAGCAGTCGCGTGGTAAACGGCTCATCCGCAACCAACATTTGACGATGGATGCCTGAGGGCCCTGGCCCATCTGCCGTGTCAAAGCAACGGTTCCCTCCCCACCGCATCTGCATTGCGCAAGTTCGTCTCCGCGCTGAAGGACGGAAGGTTTGCTTCGAACTTTATTGTTCCTGCAGGTGGTAGCCTTCACAGGACATATGGCCGGGCGCCTCATCAGTCCACGCTGTCGCATGTCAGAATGGCGGGAAATACGGTGCTTGCAGCGGTCCGTATATAGCGTCGATGAGCCGGATCCCGAGGTGCGAAACTTTAAACTTGTTCAACATCTCTTCAGGCCCTGAGTATCTAGGCTTTTCTTTCTTCTTGTTTGCCTGTTCGTCTTCTCCCGCGTCTTGCCTTATCCGTGGCTTCCGTTCACGATTTGTCCCTCGACGGGTGTGTAGCTTTGGTAGAATCGCAGCATACGAGGATTCCTTGAGTATCTCACGAAGCCCATGACAACTAGTCGCACGTAGCGTGCAAGACAATTGCAATACCCCAGACTCCTCCGTATCCTCACCTTCTGGTCAAACCCCACGACACCACACCACTCGATGGCCGACCCTATGGCCGCGGTGCCATACGCCAACAAAGCCGCCATCTATCTCGGACCCGTCGTTTCTTTCGGGGTCGTCGCGATTTTCCTGGTTATCGCGCGCATCTACACACGGATACAGAGGACTGGAAAACTATTGCTTGATGACTGGATCATCGTTGTCGCAGAACCACTCTCTTTGATCGGCATATGTTTGGCTATCGCATCCACGGCATACGGATGGGGCAAACCAGCGGCATCCTTCACACCCGAGACGCTCAAGCAGACATTGAGACTACAGTTCGCCCTCCAAACTGTATGGCTTCTTACGCTCTGGCTTGTACGACTCTCTGTCGCGTGCTCACTGCTGCGCTTCGGGACTGAAAGGCTTTGGCGATGGCCGTTGTACTTCATCATGGGCCTACAAACAACAATCTCATGGAGTTACTTCGTCATCCAATTTGCGCAATGCACACCCGTCAGCTCGAACTGGGATACCGGTATCTCTTCCAAATGCTGGGATCTGGGCCCCATCGTCATCTACGGATGGGTCATTGCTGGTAAGACCTCCAGAGGTGCTACTCATATACGACCCAACTGACTCGCTTGATAGGCATTTACATCGCCATGGATCTCACACTCTCACTCATGCCAATCCGGCTGATCCGCACCCTGAACCGCTCTCAATCCGAGAAGATACTCATCGGCTTCCTCATGGCCCTCGGACTCCTCGCAACCGCGATAAACTGCGCCAAGATGACAACGTTCACCACTTTCGGCCAAGGCGACGTGATGCAAGCGACCATCGTACCTTCACTGTGGGCCAAACTCGAGGAAGAGATCGGCATCATCGCTAGTTCGCTTCCTTGGCTCAAGAGCCCTGCTGAGAACTGGTTGAAGAAGATGGGCATACTGAAGGAGCACCAGCTCACCAAGCCGAGCTTTGTGGCCGATATGAGCTTACCAACTGTGAAAGATGATCAAGAGGATATGAATAGTAATGATGCGGATAGTACGAAAGTGAAGGGAAATGTTAGGGTGGATTCGGTGGCCACCGCCCTGGGTACTAAAGGTTCCAACAACAGCCTGCCAAAGGATCCGAATAGTAATACCTGGCAGGCTGTCTAATCGCGACGACCATGTTACGACTTTTATCTGGGATGCATGCCAAATCTTTGGGCTTTAGCGCGGCGCTCTGGCGTTCTTGAGGACTGTTCGTATCTATGGATGCGACGACCACATATATCTATCGATTGCCTGTTTGCATCATTGAGCGAGATGCGGATACCTTAATACCAACGATCTCGAATCGAACGAACTAGAAAGTGACCTTCGCAGAAGTGTGAGGAGTAGGAGTTTGGTGATGCCGCACTTCGGCGACATTCGCCCGAAGCTCTGCGAAATCTCGGATTATTACTAACAGAAAACCTCTTACTCCGCATTTTCCAAAACCATCGTCAGGACTTTGCGGAAGCCTTCCTTTTGCGCGTTTGTTTGCGCAGATTTTATCTTCCCTGTTATTGCAGGGCCTGTTTGTAGGTGTAGCAGCAGGGCCAGAGATTCGGTTGTCCTTGTGTCGACGCATACCAGCCATGCCTAGAAACAGTGGCATCAACAAAGATCGTGAACTCAGAAAGCGTGATGCCGCGGTCATTAGTAGCACTAAAACGGCACGCGCCATTAGTCCGGGGTGCATGATCCAGGCTCGATCCGCGATGGTGACGTCCCACCGGTCGTTATTCCCTTCTCTAGGTTCTGTTTACCGCGTCTATGCTTTCATCAAGCTTTCTCTCTTTCCGCATTTCTATTCCTTGACATCGCTACCACTACGTCCTAATATTGACAGCGAATAGTCCTCGACACGACTGTCTCAATCTAATCGTCTTTCTTGGGTATACGTCGTAGTCGCCGCCGCGTGCGTAAACTAGGCATCTTCCGCCTTCACGATGCCGATATGGGATCCTCTTGTGCCTGTTGAGCGCGTTATCCAGCGTGGTCTTGCACGCCTTCCGCAACCTATCAGCCACTGGCTTGGATATCGAACAAAAGCAGCCCCAGCTGCTCGCACATGGGTCGTCTGTGTCTGGGGCTTCATCGGCGCTTTCTGCGGGCTTAGCGTCATTCTCGCTATATTTGGGCATACAGACTACATGCGAAGTCGCGCCGTACCACCAATCATCGCTTCATTTGTGAGTTCTCCGACTCTTTGTATATCTGATATTGAGGAGGACTGACATTTTCATAGGGTGCCTCAGCAATCCTCTGCTACGGCGCCATCGACGTGCCCTTCTCGCAACCACGCTCCCTAATCTTCGGCCACTTCTTCAGCGGCCTAGTTGGAGTCATCATAGCAACAATCTTCCAGTTCGACCTCGAGAAAGATCCTTACCCACGACTGCAATGGCTCGCTGCTGCTTTGGCCACAGCTATCGCACTCGTTGTCATGCATCTGACCAAGACGACTCACCCACCTGCTGGAGCCACAGCACTCATGCCGTGTGTTGACCAGCATATCTGGGCGCTGCGATGGTATTTCTTGCCGGTCTTGCTGCTATCGTCAACCGTTGTGCTGGTCACAGCCATGATGGGGAATAATGTTCAGCGGCGATACCCGGTCTTCTGGGTTGCGCAGATTCCGCCACCACCACCGGCACCGAAGGCTGAGGAAAAGAAAGATGCGATCAAAGAGGGGTCCTCTGATGGAAGCGTGGATGGATCACACAAGGACGTGGAGAGAGGACCTCTGTAGGTTCTCTTTGTAGAAGCATTAAAACGAGCATCTCCATCGTCATTTTGGTAATGTGCTTTAGCCAGCGATGTATTTTGGTCAGCATATTAGTTAATTCAATTTATGTTGTCGATGGCTCTCACATTCTCGGTATGAACCGAAAGAAGTCAATCACACGGAGTGCTTACTAAGCGACGAGCTTCTGATGCCGAATCTTCCGCAATAGTGCCTATCCTTCACACTTTGACACATGTGTTGATTTGGTATCATGGTTTGTATTAACACTACTACGAACCCACTTAGGTATCTTCATCTATCACGACTCAATCAAACGCACCATCAAACTTAAACCTTCTCCACCCACACAGTCCTAGCCATACTCGGCACACCCTCCGCACTGACAGCAAACAGATACCACGCTCCCGGCAATACGACACCAGAGTCATTCATGATGGGCAAGACGACCTCTTCACCCTCAACCCTTGGCTGGAGCGGAATTCGCCTCTGATCACTGTTGACGTTGTGTGTAACACTTCCAATCCTGATGAAAGAGAACTTCACACCGTCGGCCGAACCTTGCATCTTGACCCTCAGCTCACCGCCAGGGGCGACGATGCTGTTGGCAACGTTCTCGATGATCGGGCGAGGAGCGCCGGTTTGGAGGTATGCTGGTGTAAAGATCTGGCCGTTGGGGTGGTCGACTGTGTCTTTGCAGTGATAGGACGGTCCACCGGTTCCGTCATCCCAGCAGAGACCTCCTCCTCCACTGAAGACGGTGGCATCGGGTAGTAAGATAGAAACGGAATGGTAGTTACGAGGAATGGCTTCAGCAGGTAGCTCGGTAAAAGTCTTGGTTGCGGGGTCAAACATCTCGGGGATGAAGACGGGGTCGATGTCTGTGAAGCCCGCAGCCCAACGCTGTCCACCAGTGATCAAGAGCTTGCCGTCAGGAAGAACGACGATGTTTGCGAAAGCGCGGGGGTGGTGCATATCGGCGATTCGTTCAGCTGTCACCGGTGCGCCCACGTAGTTGATCTCCATCAAGTGCGCGACTGCGAGACCGGGCGCTTGATCATAGTACTGGGCTCCACCTGCAGTGAAAATCTTTCCAACATCGTACATAACGTGGACACCGCACATGGCGTCGTTGACATCGTCCCGGATGCCCGCTGGGCTGACGCCTCCTTCGCCATCGGTGTAGTACCAGTTCATCGCTTTGCTGGGCCCGGCCTGGAAGATAGTGCCGTTGCGCCAGGGAAAGAGCCAGGCGTGGTTGTCCTCGCGGAAGATACCCTCGTGGTCGGTTGTCAACATCGGCTCGACAGCAGCACCAGGAAGAAGTGTCCACGTATTCTGTACTGGATCGTAAATCTCTCCTGGCTTTCCACCTCTTGGGCCACTCCAAGATCCACCAATAGTGAAGACATTTCCGTTGGAGAGGATAGCGCTACTTTGGTAGCCACGGGGTACTTTCATATCCGGTCCGGGAGCGAATGTGTTTGTCTCCGGTTGGTATATGGTTGTCTTCTCCGCATTGCTTCCTCCTGTGATCACCAACCTTCCGTCGGCCAAGGAGCTCATACCAGGGCAGAACATGTCGTGGTTGGTTTCAGCAACCTGACGAGTAGTCATCTGTCCGGAGACCAAATTGTACTCTGCGAACTGAGTGAGACCACGTTCACCCCCGAAGGCGTTCGGTGAGAATGCCGAATACACCATCATGCGAGTCGGAGTCGGCCATTCCGGAACGATATAGGCTGCAACGGGAATGATCGGAAAGTCGATTACTGGACCCCATGATCCTTGGCCCTGAGCGAGGGTGTTTGAGTAGAGAAATGGCAGAAAGGCAGCCGCTGCCTTTGCGTGTGAAAACATTAGATATTAGGATATTAGAGCACACAATAGGTGCAAGAAGATGAATGCGAAAGCGACTGTCGGTGGGTGGTGCTCGTATCTGAAGGTGTCCACGATATGTTTGTTTTATATCAACAAACGTTGCTTTTCCCGCACACCCTTCTTCGGATCACGATGCCTGACTTGTTGTGCGCCAATGCAGTCGAGCACGTCCTAATTGGTAGTCGATCCCAATGACTATGAGCCGAGACCTGTTCGAGAACCAAGAGTTACAAAACCAGCTCGGCACATGCTCTTAGGGTAGTGCTATACCCATTGTATTACACCGAGTGGTACTACATCCGGACAAGGACGCGCGATGATACGGCAGCACCTGCAGGTGTGGTAGTGCTATTTCTCGAAGGGTACATTGTTGATGTATCATCGCCTCATCATGTACCGCGTGAGATACTTAGATCGATCCTGCCTGTAAGCTTTACGAGAAGAGGCTCGCGTAAGATAGGGCTGAGAAGCTGGACAGCCGCCATCCGTCTTGGTCGCACCGTAACGCGACTTGGCCTAAGCGTGGCACAGAAATAGTTTATCGATTGTTGGCGGCTGTTGCGGGGCAATACTATTATCGCACGTTGAAGACTCTCACCGATGCGGGGTGTGTCTGGGCCGGATCTGACGATGCGTTGGCTGAAGTTTGTGCGCGAGAAAGAACGTTGGGACGTAGGGGTGAGAGCTCGGCACGTGCTCGGTACCGATGACGTTGAGCACTGATAAGCCTGCGGTCGTTGCGATAAGAGACCCCATGGCAACGACAGTTTGGACTCAGCACGTGGAATCTCGGGGCCATCTTCTATCGCCATCGAGATGGCATTGACATGGTTCGAATACCATAAAGTAATAAATCCCTTGGAAGACCCTTCGACGTCATACAGGCTGCGCATACGGATCGCTTTCACTCCGGCTTCAACAACTCCGCCATCTTCATTCTCAACGCCTTTTCAGCTGCCGGCCAACCCTGCCCCAGCCTCCGACAAAACGAATTCACATCAACACGTCTGTACTCAGGCATTTCCCTCAGCAGCAGCTTCACAACATCCCTACACCGAAAGTCTTTGTCCAAGGCCGCTAACACCAGCTGATACATCGCGGATTTGCGTGTGAGGTTTACATCCGAAGGCTGACAGAACTCCTTCATAGCCTGGGCGTATATCTCGCGGTAGCGCTCGATGGCCCAAGTCATATGTGGCAGCCGACCTAAGCCGTAGTCTGGGAGCCAGTCGCGACGAAGAAAGGTAGGCATTGATGTGTAGCCAATGCAGCGTGGCACCGCTGCGCAAGCATCCCAGTCGATGATGCCAGTCACATTACCATCATCATCTACCAGGATATTCTGGAGGTCGAGATCATCGTGTCGGATGACAAATGTTTCGCGCACCGGTACGCTATGGCTACCGCACCCGGCCTGAGAGATTCCATCGTGTAGTGGCGTTGACGGTTTGAACGGAGCAGAAGACAGAATGATCCGCATCACTATTTGAACGCCAAGTTCTGTCATCCCATCGCTATCGAGAGAGTCCTCAGGCTCGCATAGCCTGTCGAGGCCAGCAGCGAAAAAGGCTTCGCTGGACGCAAATGATCCATAAGACGTCGGCTCTTCCATGTTCATCTTGCAGTGCCACCGCCAGGCCGGTGCGATGAACTTTGGGTTCTTATCTTCCGGACACCCGTAGCTAGGCACGCCAGTATACGGAAACTCGAGTGTCGCAAGTTGGCTCATAGCTTGTGCAAGAGAGCGCAGGAAGGTAACGCGCCTTTGCTCGACCTCCGGAGAAGGGTCGTCGGCCTCAAGGTGTAGATCGTCAGATTTGAACATTCTGTAGGGTTGACCGAGCCACAGATCCGTCGCCGCTATACCTTTGATCTTCTTCATGAGTATGTACGGCGCCCCTATAGCATTCTGTAGGCCGCCGTCGTATGCGACAATCTCTGGTACTGGACAGTCTGTATGGTGGCGAATATGCTTCAGCAACTGAGCTTCACATTCCAACATCATACGGTCGTTCATACCCCACTCTTTCGGTGTGCCGTGTGCAGGTATCTTGAGAACATACTCTTGCGGAGTTTCATCATCGCGCTCAACCGTCAAAAAAATTGCATGGTGGAACGAGCCCTCCGTCCGATGTGTGACGCGACAGCTGCCAGGGGACAACTTCCTTTCAGGATCGACGAGATCGAGTACCATTTCCCCCAGGGCTGCGCGCGATATGCCTCGAATGGCTTTGAAGTTTCGGCGGTCGTATTCGCGTCCCGAGGGCTCGCCGTCGTCGCTATAAACGGTCGCGAGGGTTACTCCTTCGGAAGCTTGAGCCACTATACTACTCTTCGGTGAAGGTCGTCGGCGGTCACCAGCAAGTGGGACTCTACTGTAGTCGACGTAGTGACTCGGCGGCCGTATTCGATCCACGGTGGTGGCTGAAGTTGTTCGTTGTAGGAAGATTCTCGAGCGAGTCAATGGTACCGCTTCTTCTGATGCACCGTGGACAGTTCCCTTCCCCCATACCCAGGATGACCGAGGCCGTGGAGTCTTTACGCTCGTTCCCAAACGTGAGCTCAGCATTCGTTTGAGCCCTCCTGGTTTCGGTCGCACGCTACCATCGTCTAACGAAAGTCTGGAATTTGTTCGTAACAGAGACCACCGCTTGTTTCGCACTCTGTCCCATACCGAAGGCCGTGTCGTCGGTATCGCAGTCTCTCTAGGCATGGTTGGGATTCTTGCGCTGATGGGGTTGCGTTGGCTTGGATGCGGGGAGAGAAATACTGTGGTTGAACGCGTCGTGAAGCAGAGTCGGGGGTCCGAACTTGGGTGAATGCTTTGGCCCACACGCCCAACCCAAGGCTATACCTTCTGTCACATGACCATTTTGGTCCGTGCAGGTTTGGGTGTGGCCTTCACGACTTCACTACCCAGACGAATGGGAACCCCCAGAATGACATCACGACGACATGCGCGCATCAAAGGACCGTTATGCTGCCGTAGAGAACAAATTCTCATTAAATCGTGTAATTACGTCAGCCCAGCTACATACTCGACTACGCACCGCGATCCACTATCCCACCAACACCCTCCCTTTTCCATGCGCCACACCCCATTCTCTCTTGTTCTTCGCTTTTCTACGAGCTCTGCCGGACAATCAAAGTCGGCCTTCGACGGACCAGAGCGAGCCGTCGCCCGCCGTCCTCAGCGGTGAACCTATGGTATTGATCGTGTGCAGGTATCATTACCCGAGGCCAGCGGTCAAAGTTATCAGCCTCTCTCCAGCCGAATGCGCCTCCGGTGCCATCGTAGTCAATTGCGACTGACGCGATATGACGCCGAGACGCCTTGAGCATGAGTCGGCCTTCGAGAATCGATTTTGTAATAGCCGTTATCGTTGTAGGATCGAACATACGTCTTTGGTCGTTTGCGGATACGGTATTAGTGAAGGTGATGTCTATGTTAAGGCTATATTCCCAAAGGAAGTGAAGTAAGTGTCCTATGTTGAAAGCCTCGGGTCTTTGCTGGTTGTACAATCTGAAGCTTATACGTCTGTCCAAGACGCCTGTAGAGAGATCGATGGAGAACCTGTGGTGCCAGTACACTTGAGACCCTAGTTTCCGGAGCCATCCAGTGTAGACACCTAGAAGATATTCGATGGTACCACGGTTTTTGAGATTGGCCGGAACGATAACGAAGGTGTTGTTGGCGTAGAACAATGAAGCTGCTTCGAGGTAGGTAGTCCGACACGCGAAAAATAGGCCCTTGTGCATTTCAAATCCTGCACCAAGATAAAATCTATAGACGTCTCTGGCTGGGGAGAGATCGAGGTCGATTATGATCGGCTCCGAGTATTGGCTGAGATGTCCATAAATCTGGTTTCGAATCTCAGCAGGTAGCTTGACTAGAGAGTGTCTGCTGGGGTCTATCGACTTTGATTCGCCTGCTGTGGCTATAGGCGAGGGGATAGTATATGGAGGCATGTTGACCTCTTGTTGGGATCGAGGAGTTGACCCGAGAGGTTGATTGGGTGATGCGATTGGTCGAGAGCCCGAGTGTGTGCGAGAGTACTGCTGTTCCAATGAGCCCTAGTCGACAGGGGGAAGGGCGTTCCCATACGGTTGCTCGCAATGCTGCAGCCTTGATCCTGCGAGTAGAGTGAAACGTCAAAGATGCTACTCCCACGAAGCTAGAGAGGGGCAAAAGTGACGAGCTCCAATTCTTTGCCTCCGCTTTTTGCAGTGAACTTGGTCATTGGGACGCATTGGCAACGAGGCAATGTAGTCTTCTGACCTTCACTGGGAGCGTCAGTCCAACAAATCAAGCCTCCAGAGCCATCCTTCTTAATCGCTACGGCACGCACCGCATCGCTCTTCTCCCTAAGCCCCAACTGCCCCGCGAGCAGTGCATTGACGACACTGATAATCTTCTTAGAGCATTCTTTCTCAAAATTCCCCATCCAATACTCCACCCTCTCTCCCTCCACACCCACATCATCCACATCGATAAGCCTAATCTCAAAGTCAAGACCGCGACTCCAAGCCACCCGGAGTAACACCGTAATTTCCACAACATCCATTCTAGTATCAAAGACCCTCGCCTTTCTGTCCAGATAAGTATAGAGAAATACACTATCTGGGAAGGTAAAAGTATCAAACACAACACTTCTCACGAGCCCAGCTCTCGAACCCAGAGTATCAAAAAATTTGACGAGCGCGCTGACGAAACACGGGCGCGTGAAAGTAGCAAATTTGCTTGTTCGGTTCAGCAGGAAGGTGTTGGTGGAGTAGAACACTGATGATGCTTCTGCGTTGATCTGTCGGGAGGTTAAGAAGAAGGCGGTGGGTATTGTGGTGTTAGATGCATATGGCACGACTGGTTTGGGCGTGTTGCTTCTGGGATCTTGGTAGAAATATAGGCGGATTGGAGAGGGGCGGTGGCAGATATGGTGGTATATTTTGTTGCGGAGTTCGGCGGGGAGGGCGAGGAAAGATGGGGTATTGGGTACTGTAGGGCTTGATCGCTCACTGTTGTGAGATATTATAGTAGCGCGCATGGTATATATCTGTACTTAAGAAGATATATAGAGCATCGATGGAGGAAGTTTGGAAGCAGAGGGAAGTACACGCCTGTGTCTAACGCCCATAGTTCGGGCGTCGCATACACTCATAGCTATGACATGCACTAAATGCAGCGAGATGTCGTTGGATGATGAAGTTCATGTCCATGAATCACAGCCGCACTGTCACCGACTTCGAGTCATAGCTAACGGGTCGAAGAGTCATTCTAACTAGATGACGCATTCTCAGAGTTACCTAGAAGTATACATTGCCTTTAGACGTAGGTAAATTTTGTTCTAAGACCAGCGTAGACTGCAGGCGCCTATCTCATCTCCTCCTTATAGAAGGTGATCAGACGTCTGGCAAAGTCCATTCTGCCTCCCCATTCAACTTTCATCACGCCACAAGATACTGCCAGTCAAGAACGCTCGAATCGTCGTCATCATCCTTCCTAAGCGGACAGTCATCTTCGCAGGCGCAAGAAAGCGGCGGAGCCTTCAACCTGCACCCTGTTAGTAAAACCACCCAGACTATCAAAGAAGCACGTGAAATCGCAACCTACGTTTTGAAGTAATCAGGATAAGATGCCATAGTTTTCATAAGATATACCATAATTTCCTTCTTGTCAGCCCGGAAAGGGAAAAACTGCGTATCGTCATAGTATTCGCACGTCGGATCTGCCACGCACCCCCGGTAGTCCCGATCTATAGGATGAAGAGTACGAACGAAGTGGTATACCGTCAGGCCGAGCGCAATCTCGGAGGCAGGCTCCCAAGCTCCACCCGTGTCGTCAACCGAATCGTGGACAGTCTCAACGATGTCTCCGAAGCCGTTGGTCCAGAAATTGGGTAGGTAGGACTTATTTGATATTCCTGTGAATGCGCAGTCCAAAATGGCTTTGATAACATTTAGTCGTAGTCTGGTGAGGTTCATAGTATGGGTAGCTGTCATGGCTGTGGAGCCGTCGGGTGTGGGGGTCCATATCTGGATTGTTACTTCATGATGCGGTGGTGTAGTCGAGGTTTCCATTACAAAGGGTAGGATATTGATACGGATGTCGCTCAGCGTGGCTGGAGTACTCAGATTGAACCTGAGGACATAGTCTACGCCAACTGGACGATCTCTGCCTGATGTTGCAATAGTCCTCATCGACTCATCAGTCATCGGCTCACGGCTGTAACCGGATTTGAACGTTTTGCGGAGGAACCGTCTCAGCTTATCGAAGTTCTGGAATGTAGTGCGGAGGTCGCTTGTTGCCATCGTCAGAGTAAAGCGGTTGTGGAACAGGAAATGCGACCTCCAAGTCTCGAAGATTTCCTTGTTGGTATGCAGCAACCCGCAATTGAACTTGGTCTCTTTGTCGAGATCGATGGCTATGCCATCATCAGGGTTGATGATCGCGTCGAAGATGGTTCGGCGTATGCGTTTGGGGATACCGAGTAAAGAAGCTTCATTGCTCTTCACAAGCTCCAGTCGGGACCCATCGTCCTCCGCCACGAAGCTCGACATGTGCTCAGGGCCAGGAAGAATCCTAACCAGTTGCGGATGTGCGCCCCGATAGTCGTAATTTGTAGTTCCCCAGTTGATCATTCCTCCGGTTCCATCTCGCTTTAGACCAACGGCAGCGACTAGCCTTCCATATTGCCGTAACTTCAGTTGACCCTGTAGAATGGATCGCATAATGGTAGTGATTGATGAAGCGTGGCACCGGAAAACTTCCTCACCCTGATACTTAGCAGGACCAAATGGCTGGGTGAACGAGACATCCACGTCAGCTTCAAGACGCCAGATAGCCCGCAGAAGAGGCGTAATCTCAAACAGCTCCAGTTTCTCATCGAACACCCGTTCTTGCTCCTCGAAGTCATTGTCAAGTCGAGCTTCTCCTCTGAAGCAGTCCCTGGGTTTTAGATGATCTAGGTCTAAGACAATTTTACGCAGCCAATGCGCTTGTGATCCAAGACGGCTGAAGAATTCTCGTGGTACTTCGACAAACGAGCTAGGCAGGTCAAATGGAAAGGGGAGATGGCGCGAAAGTCGAAATGTGTTGTTTGAGTAGAGTATGGTACCTGCTTCGCGATACAGCGTTCGGCACGACGTGAAGAGATCCATGGGAGGGTGAACCCGAGAAACAAAACGAAGTCGCATATCCATATCGTTGGACGGGCGATGTTGAGTAACGAAACCCACGCTCACTAGTGTGCGAGACTCAACCAGATAACTGAAGATATGATTGCGGAGTTCGCCGGGTAGATCTAAAATCGAAGACTTGTTTGGATCGCAGCGCTTCGAATCTCCGAGACTGAGGGGTGAGGCAGGGTGGAAGTTGTCCATCGCGAGTATGGATGCTGGTAGGAACCAAACGTCATAGTGGTCCTTAAACTCTCTGTAAGCCTTGCCTGGAGGTGAGCCTGGAGGTGAGCCTTCAGTTGAGCCTTGAGCCGACATTTTTGGCAGTTGAGCGAAAGGTGGTTGAGGTGGCGACAGTGGCCCTACGGTATGAGAAGCGAGACCTCAAGTACTTTCTTGGAGAACACTAGGCACCAACATCGGGCGCGATGTGGACCTGGCTTTCCTCAGTGAAACTACACATGTTTAGGTAACAACCGACTCCCATAGGCTGCACTGTCAGTGGCTGCATGCGTATAGAGGTGGGAGTAAATGTAGGACAAGGAAGAAGCTGATACTTACGTCTTTAGCAGAGCCATCCTAACGAAACGGGCCTCCCGAATGAGAGAGATCGCAACCACTACAGACTTGTTGTAGGCGATGAGCGTAGATGCGCAAAGACGATGGGTCGCGATAAACAAGATGACGCTGTTGGGTACCCAGCATTTGCTTTGTCATCTGCCAGCGGTGCGACATGACGCACCTGTTTTTCATCCAGAGCAAGATGTAAAAAGATCACTACTTCAATCGAAGGCTTCTTCCATCAAAATCACTTGATTGTAGTTAACGGCTGGACTTGTAGTGTCTTTGAGCGCGGTGAATGAAAAGGTCGTGTCGCAAATGACAATTGCGGAGTCACCGTGGAGTCATAGAGCGATGGTCCAAGAGTGGCACCAGCGCAATGACGCGTGTTACAAGGATGGTGCACCCCCTGTTGCGAGGGCCGCGCGAATTTGCAAGTATCGAGTTATCCGTATTATTTCTCTTGCTATGTATTTCTTGAACTCGTGTTTCCGAGTCCGCATACCGCGGTACACCTTGCCGTGGCCCAAACCAACGGTCTTCTGTCGCGCGCCATAGAGGTTACATCTACATACCCTCAAATAACCCGTTACCCATTCGTAAGCTTCAAAGCTTACTCTACAGCGTCCATATCGTCACTTTCGTAGTCCGTATCGTGGTGCGGGATCTCCTTGTAATGAAATGGTTGCGTCATCATCGACCTGGAAACTCATCAGCATACAAAAAAACGATCATGTGCAAGTAAACACCCACCGACTGAACATGTCCCTGCACGGCCCTCCCGTCGTTTCAATACTCTTGATGAGGTACGGAAGAATCTCCTTGACCTCTCCCCGAAAGGGAAAGAATTGAGATTCTACAAAATGAACAACAGGCCTCGCTGGTGTCTCATTACCTCGGTAATGAATGTCGATAGGATGTAACCTCGATACCTTGAACCCGTGTTTATCGAAATCTGTAAGCTCCGAAGCTGGCTCCCAAGCCTCGCCCGAGACAGGCATCTTCTCATCGGCGTCCTCGACTTGCACGACTTCTCCGAATCCGTTGATCCACAAGTCTGGTACGAGTTTGTTTCCTGTCAGGTAAAAGTTTTTCATTATGACGGCAGCGATGTTTACGCGCAGCTCGTGGATTGTCAAGGTATGTGAACTAGCTAGGCTGGATATCCCCTCGCTGTTCCTAGCCCAGACTTCGACTGTGATTGTGTCGTCTCCACGAGTAGTAGACGTCTCCATGACCAGGGGGAGGATGCTGATGCGGACTTCGCTTAGTGAGATGGGATCATTTGCTTTGAACTTGAGAGTATACCGCATTTTGTTTTTGAGATATGCGCCGGCAACAAGAGTCCGCGTTTCGACATAGGTGGTACGAGTATCATACGTCTTCCTGAGAGATCTTCGCAAATGCTTGAACTGATCGAAGTCGGTACGCGTGCAGTCTGTCGTCAAGACTAACTCGAAGCGGTTGTCCCGGAAGAGTACTTCATCGCGCCACCGCTTATGAAGTTTCCGATTGACGTGAATGAGACCACAGTTGATCTTGTTATCTTTGCCCAGGTTGACTCGAAAGCCTTCACTAGGGTGCACGACCATATTGAGGATACGATCGAGAAGGGGGCGGGGGAAGTCTAGCAGATTCAGCGGCTTCTCTCGCTTGCCCATTTCCAATCGATGGCCACCATCCTTGGCGATAAAACTAGAAACGAAATACATGTCGGCGCAGATTTGTCCACGTGTGGGAGACGCGTCTGACGATATGGGGTTAGTGGTGCCCCAACCGACTATACCTCCAGCGCCATTCCGGTCCAGGGCTACCACACATAACAGCCGACCGTATGTTCGTAATCGTAGCTGACCTTCTAGAATAGAGCGAACCATAGCGCTCATGGCTGGGGCGTTGCATGCCAAACCCGAGGGGCCTAGGATTGGCAAACACTTGCTGTGGGTAAAGGAGAAGTCGATATCCCGTCCTATACTCCAAATAGCGCGTAGGACAGGCGTGATTTTGAATAATGCGAGCCCATCGTCATGAGCAATATTTTCGGGAAGCGACCTGAGCGAACTACCTTTGTAAAAGCTTGCGTTCGGAAGATCCATGAGGTCAAGCACAATCTTCTTAAGCCAGCACGCTTGCGTACCAAGATGTGCGAAGAAAGCGCCAGGCAATTCGATGGGAACGCGATGTGGGGCTGCGGTACTCGGAGAGTAGTAGCTGTTGGATCCCATGGGAAAGTTATAACCACGGCTGAATGGTATAGGGTAGAGAATACCGCCGCCGTCGAGTCCTATGGCAAAGGTATTACCAGAGTAGAAGGCGGAAACTGCTTCGCGATACAGCGTCCGACACGATGCGAACAGGGCTACGGGAATCCGTACGCCGCAGCCGAGACGCATTTGCAGCCGACCATTTTCATCCAAACGATTTCTCTCGTGATATATATCCAGTGGGGCGTGAAAGTTGAGCAAGTAGCCAAATATCTGGTTTCGAGTCTCGCCCGGTAGATCGAGGATCGAGAGCTTGTTTGGGTCAGCGCGCTTCGAGTCGCCGCGCGCGAGAGGGGGAAGGAGCATCTGGTCGTCCATCGCGCTGCTGGAGGCTGAGTCGATTGAGATCTCCAGGAACCTGGGGAGACGTTGGTCAAATTGGTGGTAGTTCTCGCACCTTCAGGTAAAGCTTGGGTGTACATAACCCAGACGTACGCTAGGCGCCAGGGCCCTGAAGGCAGTGGCGACCTGACTTTGCCGAGCCGAGAGTGTCTATTTCATTAGCAGAGAATGTTAAAGGGAAAAGAGACCACAGAAGGCACTGCAATGCCTTCGGTGTGTGGTGGCCGCCGGTGACACAGATCTCGCATCGTGAGCTCGCAACCTCGGGGCCGCCGCATCGTCCACAGAGAGGATGTCGGCATGAACGACGTCCCGCGAGACCAGCGAATGAAGCGCACATATATGCGCACGATCGTCGACAGGAATGCAACACATCAGTTACTCCAGGAAGCGACATCTGGTGATTGCGACGTGTGAGGTTTGTCGACAATCGAAGTGTCGAAGTGATGCCTACAGACCTGATTTGCTTCCGAACGCGACGTGACAACGCTAGTTAGTAAGCATACATCACAATCTCCCAGCACGCTCCACGCAACATCCTCGCTTTGAATTCTCCAGACTCTACTCATGAAAGCTGATTTGCGTCTCCACCTGCGATATATCCGCCGACCTTCGTCATGCCTTAACCCATAGCCTCAAATCCAGCGACGTAGCCACCAGCCCTAATCCCCAAATCCCTAAAACCCATACTCATAAAACTGTCTATCCCTCTCCTCGCGCGGACAATACCCCCAGTCGCACTCACACAACACAACCGTATCTCTGAGCCTATTCTCAATTAGCACATTCCTACCCACAACTCACAACCTCACAACCATTACTTACTGTCCGAAAATCCCGTCATCGTCATCAGGCAACCCCGCCTCATCCAAACAACGCACAAGGTACGGCAGCACCTCCCTCGTCCGCCTGCAAAACGGAAAAAGCTGCCAATGGATGCTGTATGGATACCGACAGCCAGAATGGAATCCCCAGCCGTTGTTGCGGTAAACGTAGTCGATGGGATGGAGCTCTGAGATGGAGTAGTTGTCTTCGTCCCAGTCGGCGTTGTATATGAGTGTGGAGGCTGGGTGCCATGTTCCGGTGGGTGAGCATGGTACACGAGTGTTAGTGGTAGTGGTAGTAGGAGGAGGAGGAGGAGTCGGGACGACGTCTCCGAAGCCGTTGATCCAGAAATCTGGGAGTTCGTCTCGGTTGTACGTTGGAATGGAATACACGTGGTGCATTATCGCTAGTACGATTTTGAGTCGCAGCTGGTGGAGTGTCATGGTATGAGACGCAGTCATGGTTGCTGGTCCGTCAGTGCCAGGCGTCGTCCAAGTTTGGATTGTGACTGTGTTTGATGCTTGCGTAGTCGACGTCTCCATGACGAATGGTAACGCATTGATACGCACATCGGCCAGCGAGGCCGTGCCTTCGAGTTCAAATCGAAGAATGTACGATGGACCGGGCTGTGGATTCGCTTTGTCCCGGATGACGATCCTCGCGGTGATGGTGTCTGGCTCTCCATTTGAGTAGGTTGACTTGGGCATGTAGGTTTTACGGAGGAAGGTCCGGAGATGGCCGAAGTCGTCGAATGTTGTTTGTAGCTGCTTTGTGCTCATGGTCAACACGAACTTGTTCTCGAAGAGAAACTTGTCGCGCCAAGTGCGGTAGAAGTGTCTGTTGACGTAGATGAGTCCGCAATCGAATTTCGTGTCGTGGTCGAGATCGATTGGTGTACCCTCGGTGGGATGTACGACCATGCTATAGATGCGGTCCTGAATAGACTCAGGCAGGGTTAGCAAAGTTAAGGGTTCGCTACGTTGCGAGACAAGCTTGAGCAGTGAACCGTTGTCTTCAGCGGTGAAGTCTGTCAGGTAATCAGGGTTCGCTTGGAAACGACCTGGGCATTGCCATGGCTGAGGTGTAGCCGGAGTAGTCCCCCAGTTGAGTATCCCGCCAGATCCATCTCGCTTCAGCGCAACCGCGCGCAGCTGCTGTCCATAACGACGGAGTTGAAGTTGGCCCTGGCAGATGGACTGGATGATAGCAGCCACGGTCGTAGCGTCACACTCAAAAGTACTGGGATTCGGCGACCTGGTGAAAGAAACAAGCACCGGCGAGTCTCGACTCCAGATAGCGCGAAGGAGAGTAGTAACATCGAAAAGCTCGGTCCAATCGTTGAATACGAAGCCAAGCCCCTCGTCACATCTGCGATATCGGTAATCTGCTAGGGAGCTCACATCAAGTTCCATCTTGGCGAGCCATCGGGCTTGAGTGCCTAAGCGAGTGATTAAGGTGCTAGATATCTCAGCGTAGGAGTGGTATGCTGAACGTCTGACATCCGGTTCCAGGGTAAATGTATTGTTGGCGTAGAAAGATGAAGCAGCTTCATGGTATAGCTTTCGACAGGAGAGGAAGAGACTTGTCGGAATGCGTGACTGGTCGCTGAGATATAGACCCAGATCGCAAGTCCAAGGTTCTATTCCGTGATATCGTACTTCAAGGGGTGTCGGAGATTTGACCACGTAATCGTAAATCTGATTACGGATTTCGCCTGGTAGCTCCAAGAAGGAGTGTTTGTCTGGGTTCGCGCGTTTCGAGTCGCCGGGAGCAACAGGTGAGGCGTAAGCGTTGACTGACATTTTCGGTGGTTGAGTAGAGAACCGTTCAAGGTAACGAACAATGCTTATACCCAGGCAGGAGCAAAGCCTTAAGTACCACCAGGCACCGGCGCCCCCAAGGAACCACAAAACAAACCAGGCTCTTTCTGAGTGAATGTTCTAACCTTCTTATTCACAGTCCATACCCCCTCAACCACCTCAACTCCCTAGCCTGATGCTCCAACGCCCTCCTCATCTCAACCCCATACATTCTCTCCCTCATCTTCTCCCCTCCCTCCTCCCCATCACCCTGCCTCTCCAGCGCATCTTCAAAAACATCCCTCGCCATCGGCGGTTCCTTGCCAAAGCCCAGCAGCCCCAACTTGCCATCTCCGGTCCACAGAACAAGGTTATTCAGACCGAGAGACTCAGTCCCAGAAGAAGCCGGAGAGTAAGGTGTAAGCAGTGAGCCGTTCGTCGTAGGCAAGATCTTCTGCACAATATCCCCCCACCCCGCTTCCTCGTCCGGCGTCGCATTCACAAGACTACTGTGATGATGGGAACCACTTATCACAGCCTCCCCATCCTTGCCCCTCTGGAAATCATTAATATTAAACTGCCGCACGGGCGTACTCCCATCCCTTTCAACCCACTTCAAATTCCCGTCTCCGTCTGAGAAAACAAGTCTCGTGCCCTGCGGCGCCACAGCCAATAGCTTGGAACTACTAGCCGTCTGGCGATTCTGATAATACGCTTTCTGGTTGCGCGTCGTGCGGCTATCGCTCGAGTTGATGGAACGAGACGGTTCATTCGAGAGGCCATATAGTTCGAGCGAGCCTTTGCCTTTGTATTCACCCGCTGCGATCAACGTATACCCGCGTGTCGATTTCGTTTCGCGCAACAATGCCGGACTGCTATACGGACGGCCCAGTCTCAGATCTTGTGGTACAAAGGGATGCGGTATAGCTGTGATACACGATAGCCTTGCGCCAGAATGCACAGTACCGCGTAGTCTCGGGAAAGACCTCCGGTCAAAGTTCAACATGCTGGTGAAGCGTCCTGCGACCCAGATATCGCCGTTTCCATCCCAGTCGCGCGTTGTAGGTAGGTGGAGTATAGACAGCGCACCGGGCTGGGAGAGCGAGACGTGGCCGTCAAAGTCGCCGGTGTCGAGGCGCGAGAAGTCGCTGTCTGTTGGGCCGCCGATGAGCTCGCAGCGGACGGAGGAAGGCGGTGCGGGCGGTTTGCGCGAGTCGTGGAGGTGGAGCGTCCAGTTTGTGCCGACTGTGAGGGGGGTGCGGTGGTGGGCTTCGGAGAGGGCGGTGATGGGGAAGGGGTACGGCGTCCGTGAGACGACTTGGAGGGTGTTGAGATCGACTTCGTTGAGGGCGTTTTTGACGGCGAAGAAGCCTTTGTGGAGTTTGCTGTCGATGCTTACGCATTCGACGGCACCCGTTTCTGTCATGATGGCTTGGCTTTGTGTGAGGCGCGTGTCGTAGTCGAGGTCTGAGCCTCTGCCTGGTAGCAGCCCGATGTCGCTCTTCGCTAGCATCTTGCCCTGTCGGTCGCTGCTCGCTGAGGCGTCCCAGATGCTGATACTGCCATCGTCGAGGGGGGCGATGAGCTTGTCTGCTAGGCCGTCTTCGTCGAATAGAATACCTGCACCCGTAGCCTCTCTCCTTATGACACCCTCATCTCTCTCCTCCGTCCCAGCATCCTGGAACCAGCTAATCTTCTGCTCGGCATGTCGCTGTATAAAGTCCTGGTACCAATTCACCTTCTCGTCAGGGTAACTAGGATCCCAATTCGCAATCAGCGCCTGCCTCCGCTTCTCCTGATTGCGCTCCTGCTGTGACTCAGCGCTTGGCGCGCTTTCATCGTGTACAGAGGTATCGAAGGTGTTGGCAAGAGTGTCAGCGGCGCGTATCAGCTCGGCGAGGCGGGGGTCGATGTCGGTGGTGATTTCGAGACGGCGGCGACGGCGCTCAGCGGTTGAGTGGGTGAAGCATAGCGACTTCCAGAGGTTGTTGTCGCGTGAGAGGTTGAGGAAGCGGCGCGACACGTGTTGGAGGGCGACGAGCTCCGAGGGTTCGAGGTCTGGGGAGGGTCAGGGCTGGGTGGGGGATGCGCGTGATGGGCACGGATGCTTACAGGAAATGATGTGGAGGATCAGCTCGTCCGGGAGATGTATCATGGTTCTTGAGGAAGGTGTAACACTCTAACAGTATGTGTAGATATACGGATGATGATTGTAGTCTGTATGTCGGAAGCAATGGCAGATGCGACACGTTTATCGCATCTCAGGGTCGAGATTCAAGGGCTCAAGGGCTGACGACATGCCGCCTCGGCCCATGACTCGTTGCCCTTTCCCCACACACCGCCTTTCCTCATCAAGCTCACCGAAAAGGGAGGTTGATATCTGAGTATATTGAGCGTAAATATATTGCGTAAGATCCACGATTGTTACATGGGTGGTGTTATCAACGTAGTTACACTGCACAATAATCGACTGAAACGCGAAAAGATAGAAGATTGAGGTCTATCGGAAGTTTGGAGATTCAACATACCTAGGTAGTTACGTGAAACTCACATTTCAAGATTAGATCACTATCTCCCTCCCCATCTCCCTCTACCTCCCTTCTCAAGAAAACCGTACTCATTACACACAGCAAAACCGTGCATGGTATCATCCCTATATTTTGCTTCAAGAACGAAAAAGAAGACCGAAATGCCTCATATCCCATGCCTTTGTGTATACTCCCAAAACGCCCCCACCCAATATCATATCCACGCTCTACCGATGATGCATCTGCTTCTCCACATCCTCGGGCGGCGTCGTCACACTCGGCAGCTCCGCCACAGGCTGCGGCGGCCTATACGCCTGATACGGTTGTCCTTTTTCGTTAAGAACAGGGTTGACGCTTGTATCCGCCAGCTCCATAGCCTCGGGATGCGTGAAAGCAGCTTGTGCGGGTGAGTACTGCGGAGGAATAGTATCCCAAGTAGTACGATTCGGATCGCCGTTTCCGCCTCCGATTCCAACGGCGTCGGGTCCGTAAGGCGTGCCCTGATGACCCGGTTGAAACCCGTTTCCAGACGGTAATTCAGACACGCGATTTGCGCGCCCCGCGCCAATTGGGTTCCCGTCGATTTCCGCGGTTGCAGGGCGCGAGTTGCGGTATGTTTCTTTCTTACTCTTGTTGAGTTTTGCTGCACCAACAAGAGGGCTGTCGCCCTCGACTTCAGAGGAAGGGTCATGGTAGGGGTTGGCTTTTTGTTGGCGGCGCTTGCGGAGGAGCCAGAAGATTATGCCGACGAGGGCGAGGGCGAGGGGGATGCCGACTGCGCAGCCGATTATGAGGCCGAGGTTGGATTTTGAGCCGCCGTTGGAGGAGGAGGAGTCGTTGTTGGAGGTGCTGGAGCCGGCGGTTGGGGTCGGGGTTACGAGGACGGTGTTTTGGATTGTTACGACGCCGCCGCCGGCGCTTGTGGAGAGGCTTTGAATGACGGAACTGAAGGGCGTGGTCGCGGCGTCATCGGCAGTTGCGGTTGCAGAACCGGAGTTGGGGGCGTCGGTAGAGGGAGATCCTGAAGAGCCTCCTGCTGTCGTCTTCGATGCTTGGTTTCCTCCTCCTGATCCACCGCCGCTCTGCGCCAGACCGGTGATAGTCGCAAGGTTGGGAGCAGTCGAAGCTTGATTTTGGCCAATGGTCGCATACGCCTTTCCATCCTGCAGCGCGAAGAAGGGTCGTGGCGATGGTGATTCCTTGCAGCAATTTACGTTTACGGCGTCTGCGTTGCAGCACCACTGGTCATCGTGGTCCTTGCATTGTGTGATCGACTCGCCTCCAACAGCTTTCACATCTGCTGGAACTTAGCAATGATCAATTGGAGAATTCGAGGTACTTACCGCCGTTACTGATTGTGCACATGTTCGAGGCACAGCCTTCTGCTTTCCAGTCCTTGTCCGTACAGCTGTATCTGCCGTACAGGTTGCCGGCCGGTAAATGGCAGAGACCATTGTCCAAGCATTCCCAGGTATCAGGACAGCAAGCAGAACCCTCTACTGACGAGCAGGGCTTTTCTGATTTTGCCGCCTCTTCGCCATTGGGGTAGTCTGTTCGATTAGTTGTTGCTCGGCGATGAGGTCAAGTAGGTCTTACAGCATTTCTGAGCAATAGCGTGTGTCGCAAGAGCAACAACAGCAGCAGCGCGCATCCACCTGAGAGTAGGCATAATGCGCGTGTACCAGAAGGGTCCCTTGCTCGGTGAAAAGGCGATACCAGAAAAGCTCGATCTATCCTTGCAGTCGATTTCGAGATCGTAACTCGCGCGACGGCGATAGTGGAGCAGATGAAGGTGAGAGAGCGAAGCGAGCAAAAAGTCCCGAAAGAATCGAGAGTGTAGAAAGCAAGCAGGTGCCAGCCGACAAACTCAAAGACACAAGACAAGGGAGAAAGACACTGCACGATGATCGCACGCCCGTTTGCACGCCCCAGTCTCGCTCATCCAGGATATACACCGAACGAAGCACCCACCCAAGCAAACTTTACCCCATTCGATCCAATTAAACTACAGTCTCCACAGTCACGCCCCCCTCGGTTGCTCGCAGTCCGTTCGTTTAGTTACCGAGAGGCTGGGCGGGTCACGGTGAGGTCATCGGGAAATACCATCACCACCATCAACCCATGCACAGCGGCGCTCACGTTCCTTGCACTAGGCCCGAGCGGCCGCCCTCGCCCTCGTATCAGCGTGCGCCAGGCAAAAAAGGTTGCGATGCGAGGTGGTACCAGGGCGGCGATGGCGATCCCATGCGATGCGGCGATGTTTGTGGCTGAGGCAGAGTGAAACTAACGCGTTCTTTGAATGTGGGAGGTTTGCAATGCGCAAGCTGTTGGAGCCCGCAGAGTGAACACCGACTGCGACTGTTGCTGCGCAGGAGTGACCTACCTACCTACCTACCAGCCGCTCTGCGATGCGATACGAGCGATCGCCGCCCCCCATTTGCAACCGTCGCGGACACTCGCACGCTCGCTCGCATGATTCAAGCCAGAAAACCGGCTTTTCCGCGCCCTCGTGCGCTACAACTGTTCGCTGTCTCTCACCAACCCTGCGGATATCCGTCTCTTATATTGCTATATTAGACAGGTGTCGTAGGACGTATGCGCTTTGTACCCAATTGCCATGCCTCGCTTCAGAGCGTCGCATGTTGAACCACACCGTCCCGTCATTGTCTCCTCCGCGGCTCCTATTCAACACAGCAATAACATGATTAATATCCCGTGTCTACATCGCTTCCATGACAGCGAAGGCGCTGGGATCGACCAATAGTCGGTAATGAGCGCTTCGTATCACGGCGGATGGTGGTGTTTGAGCTATGCGGATGACGTGCCTGGTGGTCCTGTTGCACGGGGAAAAGGTCCCGAGGTCGATGTTGCAAGCGGAAGAATCTAAATACGGTGTCCACGCCAAAAAGGTCGCTCAGCCTTGCGACACCGTTCAGAGACGGCGTGCTTGCCCTGCGTCAGGACTGCGACTTCATGCACACCCTTTTCTCTGGTGGCTTCGCGCGAACTTCGTATTTGCGGCTATGCGGTGGGTGTGGACATCGGAATGTTCGGCGCGGCACTGTTTGGGTTTATTAAGGTATGCAGGTGTTGTCGATCTACCGGGCCTTACGCTGTCATCTTCCTGGGGGGTGCAGAGTGCATTGTTGTTACAGGTAGACGTTTTGTGTAACTAGGAGATGTTGGTACTGCGCACAACATTGCACGCGGCAGTGCATTCATTTCCAACATGACAGGTTACACGACATCCCATCAACCAAATGTCAAATGTCAAAGAATCTGGCTTGACAGAGTGAGGACATAGTAGGCTCAACCTCGGCACAACCTCACCTTCCATCGGTCCTTCGTGTTCTTTAGAAGACTCGTTAGTGCTGCAACATTCGGCGCGCGACTCCACCAAGACACTTTGCCTCCCGTATTCGGTCGCTTCACGGATTAGTGATAGATGGTCGTGCTGCGCTAGGCAATCAATAGCCGGTTTAGGGTCGGCATCTGTGCTGGATTACCTATCAGGGACTGCATCTGTAAAACCTTGTGACCATTGGAGAGTATCATTGCATGGCAAGATACCTACATACGCATTGTGGTCTTCATCGTACTACAATATCGACAAACTTACTCCCACGTCACCCTAGGAAAGACCTGAACGCCCTGGAGGCTACATCGACGTCAAGTTACCAACTCTGCATTTTTTTTTTCATTTTGATGTAGTCGGTAGATCTGCTTTCCTGCCTTACAATCACCACCCATTCATCGAAACGTTAGAGTCTGAAGAAGCGAAAACGGACCGTTGCTGGCGACATGCTCTACCTAGATCTTCAATGATGAAGATTGCCGCGCATACCTACCATCTCATCCTGCCACCACACCGCAACCACCGACACACTCCCTCTCTCCCAACACCTCTTCCAGGTCTATACCACACTCATCATGTCCTACGAGCGCCGTATATCCCGTCAATCCGGTATACGGATTGAAGTGCATTTTTCCAATTGACCGATCTCACAGTGCTAAACGAAAGAATACATTGAAGACGAGCAACAGCAAATATAGGAGGAGAGCAGAGTCGTGGCTACCACCAAGCTCATTAAGCAAGATCAATAGTCCGGTTGGCGAAGGTGTAGGCATAATAGTTCTGGAACCATTAGTTCAAGTTCACCAAGGTGCAGTTGTAGATCATAAACCACCAGCACCTACACACCACTTAAACACAACCGCGCTCACATCACAGATGAGGCAGCATCACGTCACACATTCGACTTCAAGCCCGACGCTATTGTAGGTTTTCATCTCATTTATGATGCCTGTCAAACATGCAGGATGCAGGCAAGGCTGTTTATGCCTTGCCCTCCTTGCAAGCCAGCAGTATTACGTGCCGAGCTATCCCACCCTCCCATCTTCCTAAATCATGATATCATATCGAAAGAAATCGTTCGTCGTTCATGTTGAAGCTGAAGCTGAAGCAGCAACGAAGCGTTTAGTGGGCCTGACGTCCGCCCTGGGTCTCGTTGGTGATACCGATGCGCTCCGAGTTCTATTCATCACACACACACACATTAGCAACCGTCTTCACCAACATCCGCGGGGTAAAGGATCAACATACCTCAGAGCTCTGCACACTACCCTCCTGGAGAATCTTCTTGAAAATATCATCCTCCTTGGCATCTTTACCAAACTCGTTCTCAAGCTGCTGCTTGCTAGCCGTGTTGAGGACACCTTGCTTGCCGTGTTCAGGGACAAGCACTTTCCACCCAGCCACAACGTCAACCATGGGAATCGTGCTATCAGCCTTCCATTTCTGAAGCTCCTCTACGCTCTCGACGAAGATGCAGAATTGGTCGCCGGAGCTGCCCTTGTAGAAGACTTGGGTTTGGGGGGAGTTGCCGCGGGCCATTTTGGTAGATTTCTCGCGTGGGGTATCTCGTGTGTGTGGTTCTTTGAAGATCGAAGAAACCAGTTTGCGTGGTTTGAGTGTTGTAGTAAAGTAGAGAAGAGTGTGTAATGGGTATTCGAGTGATGTGAGGGAATGGAGGGGAAGCTTTAGAGGGGCTATTTAGAGCTACGTGATCTGGAGCTTTGACCGGGTGGGCGGCTACGTCATTGCCAAGGGTATTCTACGTACTCCCACCTGGCATGGTAATTGCGCACGCAAGCTCTCACGCCTTGTTTTGTATTTTGCATTGAGGCTCTTTGGGCTGAAACGGTATGGCAGGGATGCAGGCCGGAGTTGCATGCCTGCTTTGCTCTGCTTTGCCATCACAGGCAATGAGGCTGAGACGACGCGATGTAGACAGCACCAGCATCAAGCAGAAGTAGACATCACACACATCTCACTCAAGCACACCCAAAACATGTAACCATGATTCAATCATTGCTATCCAAATACCCCTATCCCATCACAAACAAACGCCACCCCTCCATCATGCGATCGCGTGCCCAGGTACCAGTACGTACGTGTCCATGTCCCAAACCCGCTAGCCGCATGACGTCATGCCGAATTCCCGATCCCCCAGACTTCCAACCAGCCACCATCAACGGTGGCTGCCAAGATCGTAAGAGAGAGCGGGTGTACCTTGCAGTAACGCTCTGCTGATCGCATGATTAATCATTATGTTTGTTACACTGGCCCTTGGTTATCGGAGTCATTGCCGTTGCTGTCGCCGTCGTCTCAGTCGTGGTATTCATGTTCTCGTACTTGCTGTTGGAGCAAGGATAGTGTGGTCGTTACGTCGTCAAGGAAAGTATGTACCTGCAATGCGTTGCCGTTTTGTGGACACCCAATGCGTGTCCAGTGTGGTCTGTCATGTTGGTCCAACAGGATATGTGTGTTGGATCATCGGAAGAAATTAAAGATCCTACTCTTGCTCTTCGAAAACTTGTTCGAGGTCGAGTGGTTTGAAGATGCAGGCCGGGATTCGGGGGTGGGCTCTTCTTGCCGTCGCTGCTTCCTGTTTTCTATGTTTTTGGTTACCTCGGCGCAGGGAGGTGGTGCGCGTACGGTGGTTGCTGTTGATGCGTGGGAGACGGTTCTCTCGGTGACGCGAGCGCGTGATTCTGATCGTGGGAGACTGATCAGGTGCGTGGAAAGACGTCGAACCTTCTTCGGCTTGCTCTGTAGTGGCTTATCGGTTGGACGCTCAACGCCTATCGCTCGATTGGCAAGACGGCGGCGTCTACTCGAAGGTCGCGTGTCTTCGACCTCGAAGTCCTCTGGTAAGAACGCGGCGGGTGCGGAATGGAAGTCGACAAGTGCAGGGGTCGGCCTTCGATCAGTCGCTGATTGAGCTCGCAGGTTCCCGTTCGACATCTTATGAACGCGGCTTCCGAAAGAGTCTTCTGACCGCGTGTTGCTCGTGTTGGAAAGACTGGGCGAGCGACGCGAGAAATTGCTTGCTATGCTTGCTATGCTTAGCTTTCGCATCACTGAGTTTGCTGAAGCTCTGATTTGGTTCTCCATCCTCCGATTTGACATGCCCGGAAAGGGCAACATGTCTTTTGTCCATACGTCTTCCAATGTACTCTCGAGACGTACGCGCTCAGCTCGGCGCGGGGCAAGTATAGGGATGTGATTTGCGGAGAGGTGCGATTGAGATCGAGTTACTATACTTGGCGAAAACGTCGGGGGCGTATCGGGTAGCTTTTGTGCCTGGGTGTTCTTGATAATGACTTGACTCGTGTTGGTCTTCGCACCGAGAGTCGCCGCTCGATGAACTGACATGCGTCGTACTAGAGTATTCGCATGACCGAAGACAGGCCCAAGAGACTTGAGACCTAGCGATAGGGATGTATACATGTCCTGCATGGTAGACTGGCCTTCGACGAAATCGTGTGTCTCGTAAACAATACGCTCGCGCAGCTGCTTTTTCCAAACCTCCTCTTCGTGAGAAGTGCAGGCGCTGAAGATGAGTTCGTGTAAGCGATGGCCATGCTCGAAGACAAATTTCCATGTATGTGGGGCAGTATGGCACTGTATGCCGCGACCGTTATCACATTCCTCGATGCTGGCGTTGGCAAGCCCGATCGACGCGACGACGGTATATGGCGTATGGAACCGGCTCGCCGTCGCAAGTACAAGGCATGATTTGTACAAAACGCAAACCATGTACGCACCCTTGATACGATCGGGTGTTTGATATGTCACATGTAGAGCGCCACATAGGAGAACATGCCCGAGAAGGCGGAAGACAAGAGCTCGAGAAATCTTCTGCTCTGAGAACGCCAGTCGATCTTGTAGCTGCCATGTAATCTCGATAAGTCGCCGGGTCTGAGGGTCGTCTTTTGCCTTGTTGACTTCGCGGATTGTCTCTTGCAGCCGAAAAAGAGCTTTTTCGAGCTCGGCATGCGCTTCTGGGTCGTCGTAGACGGGAGTGTGGCGGCATAAGTCGTCGAACAGTAGTGGGTACTTGCACACCCTCTGAATTGGCTTGATCAAGAGATCTGGAAAGCTGAGTGCCTTCTTGCTACCTGCCTCTCGGTTGTTCTCCGACGCGACCACCTTCTGCAGCGCTTCGACACCGCGCTCGTATTCTTGCCAGCCATGCAGTCCTTTGCACATGGTGGTGAGATCTTGCGACATGGTCGTCCAATGCGCGCCGTACTCCTCGTATGTGAAGAAGCGTTTCATCTGTTTTTGTTAGCGAAGACAATGATAAGGGTCGCGCATAGCTTACATGTTTGTTGAAGATCTTGGCAATGTTCCCGGCCGTCTGCGTGTCCGTTACTAGGCCTCGCGGTCTGCGGTCTGGCGATCGTCCAATCTCCAAAGAATGCCTCAGCCTCCTGGCAGTCTTGTGTTCGGCGAAGCGCCCCGGCACAATGTCGGCGCTATGGAAGCGAATATGTTTGGCTTTCGTCACGGGATATGTCTCTTGGTACGCGCTTCTGGTGAAGTCTGCCTGAGGTACAACCTGATGAAGTTCGGCGAGCAAGTCTTCGTGAAGCTGTAGAATCTGGGAGATATTCTGTTGTATGGATGATCGTGTCTGGCCTGACAGAGTAGGAAGGGCAGTAAGGATCATGAAATAGTCCTGCTTGGATTAGAATGGTAGAGTCAACCCGGTGATAGGTAACATACGTTGATCAAGACCTTGAGGTCTGCGATATAGCTCTCTTCTGAGGAGATCAGCTCCTCCACAACCTTGCGACGCTGTAGTGATCGAAGCCACGCGCTCTCGTCGAGCACAGGCCCTAGCGCACCACGATGACTCTCGAGTGATCTGCGCGCTTCGGAATAATTGCTGCTTCTGTTACCCAAGCGAACTTTCCCTGGTACTCCAGCTTCTGAGCGTGGTGCAATGCTCGCGCTGCCGATGGTCATCGAAGTCGACTTCATTGCTGTCACATAGCCCATTGACGATGTCATAGACTCTGATGTCCTGCGCACCGATTCAGACAGCCTTCCCAGCGGTCGCGAGAGGACAGATATGCCATCAGCGGTGTCGAAGGATAGCCGTGGTATTTCAGCGACGTTATCCCTCCACCTGTGCGCGTGTCGACGCCTCAAAGTGCTCATCCACCGCCGAAAGGGTTGTGAAGATACAGAGATAGTCGCAGGCGCTTCTTCGTAATCTTCGCGCGGCTCATCCCCGTCATGATCGGTGAAGCGACCTTCTGGCAATGGCACGTGTATGGCTTCGTATAGATTGAACAGGTGTGTTTCCTCGAAGTCGTGGTCGTCAATGTCCATGTCATCAGCCGAGCTGTCGCTGTCAGAGGAAGGTTCCGCTATTTGCTGCGAGCTGTGATATCCTCTCGCATGCGGCCTCGGCGGGACTGTAAGTCTCGAGAAAGATGGCGGTGGTCGATCAGGCCCACAGTTCCGCTTGCGTGGCTCTTCGATGACATGTCTGGTACTAAATGGGAAGCCTCCTTTCTCGGGCACGAGATCGAGGAGCGACTGAGAGGTAAGTGGTGGTGTGTTCTCGTTGCTCCGAGACCAGTCGCCTGCCCTAGTCGCCCCGAGGGAATACAACGAGCACGCGGAAGCATTGCGAGCAGTAATGTCGCTCAGTGGTGGCAGTAGTGTGTCTTTCTGAGGGGAGCAGGAGTTGAGGTATGGATTGTCGCTGAAGGACCGCTTGAGTGGGCTCTGAGGCCGGAGCGACAACACATATGCCATGTCCGTAGTCGTACGGTCGACACGGGATAGGACGGGTACGAAGGCTTTCAGCGCATGAGATAAATACTACTGCATCCAACGACGATGGCTTAAGGAGAGACAAGTGAGCTGCAGAGCGATAAGGAAGTTGGCTGAGGCATTTTGGATATGACTACTGGCTAGGACGGGAGGAAAGCGCAGAGGCGCAAAGTTCTCAAGAGCGTAATGGCGGCATCTAAGGGAAAGGGTCCAGACGGCGCTCAGTAAAGCGCATTCTACACAAGCTTACCGAGAGCCATGGACAGAGTTTCGTTAGGGGCGAGTGGTGAGCCATCGACGAAGGCAGCTAACATGGCGGCCGCGTTGCTCTCACCAAATTTTGGTAACCGCGTCTCACTATGACGGCAGGAGCGGCGGAGGTGCAGAACAAGTATGTCTATAGCCGAGCCGAGCCATCGCAAGATTGAGCATACTAAGCGACTGGAGTATTCTCTTTATTTGGCACGCAAGAGGTCACGCGCGTGCCTTGGGGATAGTAAAGTTTGGTAGAGAAGTGAGGGAGGAAAAAGGAAGGCGACCGTCCTGGCGGTTTTGCCCCGCGCGGCTCAAGCTCCCTCAAGCTCCCACCCCCACATCCAAGCTCCCTGTAGTAAGCATTCACGCACTCTCAACTCTGCGGCGGCGACAAACATCTGCACATCATGGATGATATACACGCGCCAACCGTCTCGTCTGGGCCCACGTCGGCAGGCTACTCCAATGGCATACCAAAAGAGCAGCTGACGCTGCAGGAGCTCATGGCCGAGAAGGACCGAGTAGAGACAGAGTTGAAGGCATTAGGGCAGGTGCTGGATTCGGTACGCAAATCAGGGCTATGGGCGGGATAAGCAGTTGACGTCTTGTTGTAGCATGGCGTCCGCATGAGCACCGGCCTGACCACCCTCGACGGCTTTCCACGCAGTGATATCGATGTCCCCCAGAGTAAGGAGCGGTGATCTTCGAGGTCACCCAGGGTCGCTGACTGTCGCAGTCCGAACC